CGCTCGCCGTGCCCTCGTGCCCTCCTCAACTCTCCAGTCCTCATACTGAGGTGCGTCTGCCTCTCTCAACCTGAGGAGAATCGCATGCCGGGGCGTACCCTCACCCTACCCTACCTGGACCCGACCTCCCACCTCCAATCTCTCCAATTGAATGGCCTGGAACGACCGCCGTGGAAGGGGGGTGAATCACCAAATCATCACTAAACACACCACCACGGCCGTCTTTCGACTGGCCTACCTTACTCAACCTTCCAAACTTCCCGTCCCGTCCACGACGAACCAGCCCAGACCAGGCCAGGCCTGACAAGGGCACTGTGTCCCTGCACTTTGGACACTTTTTTTTCTCTCCTCGGGGATACCTACTGAGCATCTCACACCTCCTCGACCTTGACCTCGAATCCTCGACCTTGACACGCGTAACTCACCTCAACCCTCCAGCTCCTGTCCTCGATTGTGCTTCTCTTTGAGGAGAGCGAGAGGCGGTAGCAATAAGAGTATTAGCATACCATTACTCTCAGGTTTTCACCCTCTGAGGGCAAACCTAAATCAACAACAAACAGCAGCCCATATCACTCCACGGTAACCTGGTCTCGAGCTCTCCCGAGAATCGACGGTCAACAACAAAATAGCAGGTTCAGACTTGAGAGACAGAGAGAGAGGGCCACGGCGCCAGTCTCACGCTTCACCTCCAAGGTCGCCGGGCCAGAAGAAGATACCTTGCCAACCCGAACCAAACCCTTCCTCACCTTATTGCTCCGTACCGTCTTCACTCCGTCCGTACCTTGCCTTGCCTTGCCTTGCCTTACCTTGCCTCGGACGAGGCACTGGACCACACGGCACCCGTACCGCTTCTGCACCACACGCCCCCAACGTCCCGGGGAAGCTTGGATCATTCATTGCAACTACTCCGTACCAAATTTGGTTTCTTTTTTCCTAATCCCATCTAACCCCCTTCTCCTCTCTTTCCCTTCCTTCCTCACTCACGAACTCCCATCTTCTTCTTGAAGCTTCTTCTTCTTCTTCCATTGGCGACGGACCCAGGGCCGCTTCTTGAGTAACATCGGCTACGACGTGTCCGGCAGACGGCTGCCCCATCTTTGTTGGACACGGCAGAGCAATAACTCTGTTACTGTTCACGCAGCTACTCGGAACAGATCGCTATCTACAACAAAAAGATCGACGTTGCTGCAGCTTCTGCCTCTACTCCCGCCGCTCGTTTTCGCTTTGCGCCAACGCCGCACCCACCCCCGACCATCTTTCTCAACCCGCAGTCACAGCATGTATGGCCGGCGAATGACTCGACACCAGTCAGATTCAAGATCCAGCGTTGTGAACCAGAACAGAGGCAACACTAGCCGTGTCTGGGAACTTCGATGCGAACAACGTTGATCATCGCGTCGATCTACAGCTGTACTTGTTGTTCTTCCCACTGCCAGAAAACCCCCACTACGTGCGCGCGTCAAAGTCTGCATACAGCAAGAGACAACCTCGAGCTTCGGACCGCGAAGCCAGGCACTGCCGTTGCTGCTGCTGTTGCTGCTGCCGCCGCCCCTTAGCTGTGGTGTGCCGTCAAGTGTGCTGCGTTGTATTGCGTTTCCTTGCTTCGCTCCTCCTCACCGTCTCTCCCGCTCCCGCTGGTAATTCTTACTGGTGCCGAACGGGGGGTTTCTAGAAATTTTGCATCTCACGGCACGAATGGCCGCCGCAACCACCTCTGCCCCGGAAATGGGCACAGTCACAACAACACTGCATCCCAACGCGAACCTTGCTGCTGTTGCTCCAATGGGCTCGATACCTAACGCTACAACTCCCTACGAAACATCACCAACTCTACCAGCTCCGCATAATCTCTCTACCAGCACGCCGGGACCCACGCCTGCACCTGCGGGAACCCCTGTACCACCTGCTGCCGGCGGAGCATCAACCTCGGCGGCAGCGGCAGCGGCAGCAGCTGCGGCGGCAGCATCGGCATCGCGCAGTGTCAAGAGGCCGCGTCCCGTCAAGTCGTGCACCGAATGTCGCAAGCGCAAGCTGAGATGTGACCGCAACCTGCCATGCTCGCAGTGCCAAAAGTCGCATCGCAACTGCAAGTATGCCGCCGAACACGACTCGTCAATGCTTTCAGATGGCTCGGATGCCGAGATGGGTGAGGTGCAGCGTCCACCCAAACGGAATTGCCTGCCCACAGCCGCAACACCGGGACCACAGACGGCCGAGTCGTCTTTTGTGCCCTTGCGCAACGGAGAATCAGCTGGTCACACTGCTTTGGAGGAACTCACTTCACGATTGGACCGCTTGGAGAAACAATTCATGATTAGGAGCCCTGCAGGCACGGAATTCAGCGGAATTGGTCAGCGTTTGCCGCTATCGCCGGAGACAATTCGTGGGCTGACGGTCAAGAGAGGCGCCCTACGGACTCGATTTTTTGGTCAAAACAGTGTGCGCGTTCTGCTGAACCTGGTAACTGTCCCCGGACCCCTCATCACTCCGAGACTCTACCCCTAACCTGACTCTTCCAGTTCGACGAGGCCAAAGATTTCATGGCAAACCAGTCCAAGATTGAGGGTATTCGAGAGACCATGTATGGTCTGCAGATACTACACAAGAGGATCCAAGAGGAGTATCGAAAGTCCTTGTCCCCGATATCCGTCTTCGCCGATTCGGTCATTCCAGTCCAGAAGCGCATGCAGGATATCCTGCCCAAGAAATCGATATGTGACAGGCTACTGGCTTCTTACATCGACACGTCCGAGACCATTTACCGGATGATTCATGTTCCCACCTTTAAAGAACAACACGAACTGTTCTGGGAAGGAAAGTTACAGGGCGACACGTTTCTTCCCCAGCTTCTGACTGTGCTGTCCATTGGCTCGAGGTTCGAGACCAAGTCAAAGGGATTAGGTCATGAGCGCGTCGAGGGAGTCCATATTCCCACGGCGTGCGCACTGGTCAGATCGTGGCTGGATGGTTTGAAGGGCAAACAGCTGGTTGATTTTACAACGCTGCAGACCGAGATTCTTCTGGTTCACGCTCAGAGGATGACCACGCCGAGGCCGCAGGATTCGTGGGCGCAATTGGGTTATATCGTACGCATGGCTATGACCATGGGTATGCACCGAGACCCATCGGAATTCGAACCTCGAGTGCCAGTTTTCTTTGGTGAACTTCGGAGGAGGCTATGGTTTACGATACTGGACATGGATCTACACCTCTCGCTGGCATGCAACCTATCCTGCCTTGTGCGCGATGGAGACTTCACCTGCCGACCACCCCGAAACCTCGACGACAGCGATCTTTTCTTGGACATGAAGGAGCTGCCACCGAGCAAGCCCATCGACCAGCTCACCGACAACCAGATGCAGGTATACGCTGCTATGACGTTGGGAGCTCGGATGCAGGTTGCGCACCTGATCAACCGCGTGGACTCGATTCGGGATTATGGCGAGATTATAGAAGTTGGGACGAAGCTCGACCGGTTCTTGGAGGATATCAATTACCTGTTCCCGCGCCACGGTATACTAAACGAAGTCGAGAAGAGCAAGCAGTGGAGGTCTCGGGTTATTCTCGACATGCACGTCCGACGGCCTTTGTTGGCCCTATATCGCCCGTTCGCGCTTGGTCTGCCAGACGCTCCATCCCAGATATCGAGAGCTTATTTGCGGTCCTCCATGGTCATTATGCGATACCTCGACGAACTCGACCCGCTTCTCAGTCATTTCCAGGATGTCAGCGACATGTACCACATGGTACTGAAGAAGGACATTCTGCAGGCAGCCTTTAGCGTGTGCTTTTACATCAAGGCAGCGACCGAATCCCATATCAACGGGAATACATTCGGGATTGCATCTACCGTGGCCATGTCTCCGGATCCGATGGATGATGGGGTCACCTTCAGCACCGAAACGTTTGCGCTCTGGTCACCGTCTCGCTTGATCAAGACTGTAGAGAAGACGCTTAACCTACTTGTTCGCAACGTTGGTGGCAACGATGTCAAGGATATTGTCGCGCTCGCCGTGGTCTTGGCCTCGGTGCAGGCCACGAACCAAGAGCAGAAGCTGCAAGATATCCGACGCAGCCTTCAAGGTGTACTCGACGCCTGTCAGACCGCTACGAATACTAGCCCCGAGAAGATGTCCTTGCCGAACCCGGCCGACCCGATGGATCCCTACATGCAGACGAGAGCCCCGTTCATGTTTCATGCAAATGCGTCGGCGGCTGCGGTAAGTGACTACGGCGGCTGGGTGCTATGGGACGGATGGGACTGGGCTGATGCGTGGTCGGCAGACTCCGGATGATTACGCGGACTGGGACTTGGACTACTGGAATCCGATGATACCAGGGCCCTCCTAACATCAACATGATGCGGGGTTGAGGACAGGATCTGATCGAGGGAGAGACCGGAACACCCCAAAAGTCGCCCGTGCCACGAACACCTTGTGGCTTGGAGTTGTTTTGCTGGGATTCTGCGTTGACAAATACACGACAAATACCGCGGCAGCGGTACGAAACTCCCCCTTTGCGGGGACCATCACGGCGATCCAAGAGACCCGCCAACCCTTGTCCTTGCTGGACACTTCACGACCAATCACATGTCAATCGACAACAGCAACAACAAGTCGACTGCCGGCGAGGATGAGCAGGTCATAATTCCGCAGTTGTTCCTTGTAGCACTTCTGTGAGTAAAAGGAAAGGGAAGCGATGTTAGACAATGATGATTATGCAGACATTCCAGCAGGGGAAGCCAGAGAGATGCGAAAAGCCCACGTCAGGGCGGGGGAGAGAGCATACGAGTAGAAACTCTGTAAATACAGTACACTGAAGATACCAACACGCAGTGGAGGAATTCAAAAAGAAGGCATGGTTGGCATTTGCACAACATGCTTATTACTACTACATCAAGCTACAAAGAAGCCTCTCCATTATCAAAGGGCAGAATGACACGAACTCTAAAATCTCCACCCACAGCTTTTCCGCTTACACGTTGGACTAAACTGATCTACTTAGTTCGTGACCACAGGCGCACTGCGATTCCAATCATCCTTCTCGACCGCGTCCACCATGAAGCCGGCCACGCTCCGCCTCGTGATCTTGGGCATCCAGCACACCCCGCTGCCTTCGTCAGTGTACACCTTGACCGGCAGCTTCTCGCCCTCGATCAGCATGGGCGGTCTGACCAGGACCCAGTCCACCGCGTCGTTGCCGGCGTCGCCTTTGATGAGAGTGTCTACCGCGTTGTGGTCGTCGAGGGTGTGCTTCATGTTTGTGTGGTTGAATAAGGCGCGGAGAGGGAGGATGAGGGATTGGGCGCTTGCGCCAGCGCCTTGCATGCTGTTTATGACGAGTTTGGGCCTCCAGTCGGGCGTATGTAGGGATTTTAGGGATTTGATTGCGGTTAGAGTGTTATTGACGGAGTCGTGGAGGAGGGCGGGGGGCGTGTTTGGGTCGAGGGCGGAGAAGGGGGAGTCGGATTGGCGGCGGGGGTTGAGGGTGATTATAATTGCGTCTGGGGGGGTTGTTGTTTGTTGCATTGCGTTCAAGAGGTCAGGGAGGGAGAGGGGGGTGCCTTTTTTGAGGGTGAGGTTTTTGTGAGAGGGGAGAGAGGTGGTGGTTGTTGGATCGCGGACGAGGGCTGTGATTGTGTGGTTTCGGGAGAGGGCTTCGGTGAGGACGAGGGTGCCGTTGCGGCCTGTTGCGCCGATGAGGAGGATGTGCATTTTTGGGAGGGGTTGGTTTTGGTGGTTTGGTGGTTTGGGTATGGGTTTGTAAGTTGAGCAAGGTAGAGTAGGATGTAGTTGCTTTTGAGGCTTTAGAAGGTGGTGATGGTGATGATGGTGATGCTGTTGGTGATGATGAGAGGGCCAAATACATCTCCATCGCGACTTCCACTTGTCCTTTATACATTTCTCTAGATTCCTAGCTTACTAGTCTACTAGCCGTATACCATGAGAAGCAGAAACCTCATTGGAAATCATCCTTTTCTCCTCCCGGCCGAGATCCTTTTGCTTCCTTGGGAGATGCTTCTCAGTACGGAAGATTGTTCCGCTCTCTGTGGTGTATCGGCCGAGAAGGATCTCAAGTCCGAAAGGAATGGGGGGCTTTTGCGCCAGCCACGTCGGCGCAAGTGAGACTGATGTTCGTGTCTGCTGACCAAACAACCTCGTATAGTTCACGGAGCCGAAGATGATGGGAAGAGCTAAGTTGAGTTGTCGGCGCATTTTACTCGGCCGGTTGGTCGTGGTTTTGTTGCATCTCGACCGAGAGACCACGGACGGGGGGAATTGGGAACCGACGCTAAGGTGGTGCTTACGCAGCCTGGCAGTACATTCTGATGAGAAGGGCTGTGTTTATGGGATTTACAATCGATCAGCACGCGTTGAGTTTGCGTTGCAGATGGAACATGAACTTCTTTACAGTCTTTGACCTTTATGTTTTTACACACTCTTACAAAGGTTCTCAACGTCCATGTCACTCAATCGCTCGAGAGCACGAAGGGCACAGAAAATATCGGATTCATCACCCGCGTTGGATTTGAGTAAACGCGGATGCTCTTCCGGAATATCAAAGTTTTTTTTACAAACGTATTAGGGGGCAAGATGCGATAGGGGCTTGGCGAAGCAACCCGTTTTGCGTCAAGTCGGGGGTTGAACGTTGGGTTTTGCGCAAGTTGCTGTGAGTACAGTGTAAAGCCGGTCGGACGTGGGATACCAAATCGGGACCACTCGGCCGAGTGTGGAGGTGGGGGAGAAGGGATCTAGGTGTTTGGTGGTTTGTAGGTTTTTTTTTTGCTTTGCAAGGGTGTTTGGTTGACGGGTTATGACGAGAGAAGAGCGAGAACAAAGTATGTGGTTGGTGGTGTGGAGGAAGGGTGTGAAGGAGAAGACGAAGAAGGAGGAAGAAGAATATGAGACGGTTTTTGTTCACGGGTAGTGGTGTTTGGGTGTCACAGGTGTATGCTTCTGAGAATAGGTACAAGTCTTTTTCCAGAGAAGGTTTCTCGGTGGAGCCGAGAGGTTCGAAGGTGAGATGGAACGATTCAGAGTTTCTTCCCTCCTTTTGGGTTGAAGAGGGAGGGAGGGGTGGCGTGCTGGTGTCTGTGTGTGTGAAGTTAGGGGAGCTCGGGGTTCACGTTAACACCTTTTCTCCGGTTGGGGGGGTGGTCTGGAGGAGGCATTCGGGAACATCAACCTTGGAGGATGGGAGGGCGAGAGGGGGTGTGTGTGTATACCACTTGATGGGATAGGATGGTTCAGGGCAGGCAGTCGATCACTTGTTCTTTTCGGTGTAGTTACATAGCGAGGATAGTGCTTACTCGGGGTAGGGGGTAGGGTGGTTTCTCTCTGACAAACCGAAGCTAGTGTGATTAGTGATTTAGGCCGCAGGGTGAATAATGAGATGGAGGGAGAGCAGCGATTCGGCGGCTCGGAGGTTGCAGAGGGGGTCTGGTTGAGGGGTAATGATGTTGGGCCGCAGGCGGACACGGACGCGGAGAAGGGGCCCCCGGAGCACGGAGGACGCTTTGCTGGATTGGGTGATTCGTATGTTTCTCGGCCGAGTGGCGGGTCCGGTCATACGGAGGAGGGGGTGCGGCTGGGTGGCTTTGTTGGTGAGAGGGCGAGATTGGTTCATGGGAGCGGGCGCCCTTGGAGGACGATGATGTGTTCTTTTTTTTTTCTTTGGCTTACCAAGTATGAGAGGGATTAATGGGCTTTTTGGGATGCTAGGCAGGACGAGTAGCAAAGTGGGATGGGTATAAAGGTTCATGGAGTCTCCCCGATGTTGTGTTGAGGATATCAAGGCATGCAAACACCAGGCAATTCTCACCATCATCACCGTTCAAAGTAGCACGCAGCGCACAGCTCACAGTCTGCTAGTCACTCGTCACACACACTACCTACCTCATCACCCTCTACACACACTTGCCGTCACTCATAACATCCACTCACAATGCCTACCATAACAGCCACCCTTCATGACAGCGACAGCGGCGACGTCGCCATCATCGGCGGTGGCATCGCAGGCATGGCCCTCGCCCTCGCCCTCAACGCGCACGCCATCCCCGCCACAATCTACGAGTCCCGCGACGCGGTGCCGCTGCCCCACCACGCGGGCGGCGGCATGATGCTCTGCCCCAACGCCCTGCGCATCCTCGAATTTTTGGGCGTGTACGAATCGCTCCTCGAGAAGGCGTACAACTTCGACTACGTCTACTACAAGGACCGCGACGAAGTCACTGTCGACCGGTACCCTCTCGGCGGCAAGGCCGAGTTCGGGTACGATGCCGTGCGGATTTTCCGGCAGGAGTTGATTGAGATTCTCGCGGGGGCGTGTCGGGAGCGCGGGGTGGAGGTGCGGTATGGCAAGAGGTTTGTGGGAGTTGTTGGTGAGGATGACAGAGGGGTGGAGTTTGAGTTCGCGGATGGGGAGAGGCGGAGGGCCGGGGTACTTGTCGGCGCGGACGGGATCCACTCGCGGGTGCGGAGCACGTATGTTGCGCCGGATGCGAAGCCCGCGTTTGTGGGGCTCGCGGCGCTGACGTACGCGGTGCCGACGGCGCAGCTGCGGGTGCCGGAAGATAAAGAGTACACGTTCCCCGTCAGCGTGGCGAGCGGCAACGGGGTGTTTGTGCTGGCGCCGCAGGGGCATGACGGCGGGGAGATGCTGGCGGGGACGCAGGTGCCGTTTGATGCCGAAAAGGCGAGTCTGCCGCGGGAGGCGCTGATGGCGGATAAGGAGGCGCTCAAGGCGCGACTGAGGTTGAATGAGGAGGCGTGGCCTGGGTTGGTGAGGTCTGCGCTCGAGGGGATCCGGGACGAGACGATGAATGTGTGGCCGTTCTTCATGTTGCCTGCGCTGGAGAGGTGGGCTTCGCGGGGTGGTGGGGGCAGGGTTTTGGTGTTGGGGGATGCGGCGCATGCGATTCCGCCTACGACGGGGCAGGGGGCTTCAATGGCGTTGGAGGATGCGGCTTCGCTTGCGCTGGTGATGAAGAGGGTGAAGGAGAGTCGGGGGAAGATTGGGTGGGAGGAGGGTGTGGAATTCTGGCAGGGGATTCGGAGGGAAAGGTTGGGGAGGTTGGTTGGGTTGACGAAGATGTTGAATAATAAGAGGCTTCCGAGCGATGAGATGGCCAAGTTGCCGAAAGAGGAGGTTTGGTTTGAGGAGGGGGAGGGGCAGATGAGGTGGTTGTATGTGCCTGAGATTGAGAAGCGGGTTGAAGAGTGGGTGAAGGGAAAGATGCAGTGAATTGTGAGGCTTTGAGTTTAGATTGTCTGATATCTTGGTATTTTGGAAGCAACAGGTAGACTAATGAAGTAGGTAGTTAACTTGGCAATGCTCAATTCCGCACGAAAAGTGAGTACAACACCAATGACTGCAAGGCTATGAAGGCTAGGTATACAGTATGCTCTTTTGCACGTAGCGTTTACATGGTAATTGGTAGCATTTGACAGACTGATTAGTAGCTGAGATTGATGGGCTAAGTTCTCTACACGGTCACGAGGAATATACAATATCATATGCAAAACCCACAAAGTCTGAATCACCTATTCGAGTCAGCATTTCGTCGCATTCTTGGTTAATTAGTCCCCCAAAGTGTTCGACGACGACAAGGTTACCAAAAAGGGCCCTAGCAAAGAGGGACCGATTTTTACCTCGGCAAGCAACATGATTGGCCACAATCTTTGGGGGAAACAGCTTGCAGGTTCAAGCTCGAGTTGCTCGACCGTCTCTTAGCGGCCGGGGCCTCGGCATTCTGCGTCTTCGAGACGCTGTTTCCCCGCATCGAAGCTCCCCAATGATCCCCCCGTTGCAGCGTTGTTACATCCCAGTTGTGGGTTAAGGTGGTGTGTTTTGACGCTGGGTTTGGTCACAAAGTCACAGCGGATAGTGCGGAATTTGTGCCGGTAGGCGGGCGGTAGGCGGTTGCAAGGTATCCGTAGCTCGAGGAGAGAGGAAAGCTGGAGAAGCTCATCCCTATCCGTATTCCCGGGGTAAAAAAGAAAACGGTGCTGGAAGAGGGGGAGGCGAAAGCTTGCCAACTTCATCTGTTATTTCCTCGCAGAGCACATGAAAGACAGACTCTGTATACCTTGTTAATCGTTTCTAAATAGCCGGGGGGAATATATCACCAGGTCCTACCCCAGATTGTCTCTCCAGTTTGCCTTTCCCGTTCTCTACTATACCATTGAGATTGGCAACCCTCAATACTCCCAGACCATCATCCATCGAGCTCAAGTAGAAGCTACCTCAAGTATCACAACCATACATACCACAGGAACACCCCCTACATCTAACCCGTACACTCTACACACATCACACATCATACAAAATGGCGCCCCGACAACAACGCCAAAAGGCGCCCTGCTACGTCCTCGGCGTCGGCATGACCAAATTCATCAAGCCCCGCGGCAAGGTCGACTACACGGAGCTGGGCTTCGAGGCCGGCGTCAAGGCCATGCTCGACGCCCAGATCAACTACGACGACGTCGAGCAGGGCGTCGCCTGCTACTGCTACGGCGACAGCACCTGCGGCCAGCGCGTCTTTTACCAGTTCGGCATGACGGGCATCCCCATCTACAACGTCAACAACAACTGCTCCACGGGGTCCACAGGTCTCGCCATGGCCCGCAGCTTCGTCTCGTCCGGCGCCGCCGACTGCGTGCTCGTCGTCGGCTTCGAGAAGATGATGCCCGGTTCGCTGCAGAGCTTCTTCAATGATCGGGAGAACCCCACGGGCACGACTATCAAGATGATGGCCGAGACGCGGGGCATCACCAACGCGCCTGGTGCTGCGCAGATGTTTGGCAATGCTGGGCGGGAGTACATGGAGAAGTATGTCCTTTTTCTTGCTCTACAAGCTGCGGGCAACACATAAACTAATGCCATGCGTAGATACGGCGCCAAGGCTGAAGATTTTGCGGAAATCGCCCGCATCAACCACGAGCACTCCACAAAGAACCCCTACTCCCAGTTCCAGGACGTCTACACCCAGGAACAGATCCTGAAGGCCCCCGAGATCTTTGCGCCCCTCACCAAGCTGCAGTGCTGCCCGACCTCGGACGGCGGCGCCGCCGCCGTCCTCGTCTCCCAGGCCTTCCTCGACGAGCGGCCCCACCTCAAGGACCAGGCCGTCCTCGTCGCGGGCCAGTGCCTCGCCACCGACGCGCCCTCGCTCTTCTCGCGGTCCGCCATCGATCTCATGGGCTTCGAGATGACGCAGCACGCCGTCAAGGCCGCCATGGGCGAGGCCGGGCTCACGCCCAAGGACGTCCAGGTCGTCGAGCTACATGATTGCTTCTCGGCGAATGAGATGATTGTTCTCGATTCGTTGGGCTTGGCGGAGCCGGGCAAGGCGCATGAGCTGGTGAGGCGCGGGGATATCACGTACGGTGGCAAGTACGTCGTCAACCCGTCGGGCGGGCTCATTTCCAAGGGTCATCCGCTAGGCGCCACGGGTATCGCGCAGTGCGCTGAGCTGGTTTGGCATCTGCGCGGCTGGGCGAATAACCGCGCCGTCAAGGGGACCAAAGCCGCGCTGCAGCATAACCTGGGTCTCGGCGGTGCCGTTGTGGTGACGGTGTATCGTCGCGCGGACGGAAAGGAGGCGCCGGCGATTGACTCGGCGGCGGTGGGCAAGGTGAACAAGCTCGGGTATAACCCGGCGGTCGAGGCCAAGGGGTTCACGGCGCAGCAGGCGGCGGCTGTGAGGAGTAAGACCAAGAGGAGTGATTGGGCTTTGCAGGATACGGAGGAGAAGGTTGAGGCGCGGTTCTAGGCGGAGAGTGGTCGGGATATTGGTCTGTATGAATGAGACTGTTAAAAATAGCTATGAAATGTATGTCGCGTCGATCAATCTCGCTGGCTTCGTCTCATCATTGTTGACGTCGTTGCATTCTCTCTTCCCCCTTCCTCTCCTCTCCAAGTGAGAGCTGGCCAAGAAGTGCTCCTACGTACTGTTGGTCTTCTTGACTTCATACGTCAACAGCGTGACCCAGTAGCCCTCGCCGCCGTACTTGGTATCGTCCTGGTAGCCGCGGTGGACTTCCTTGAAGCCCAGCCTCTTGTACACGTTCAAACCGGCTGGGAAAGCCAGGATAAAGACGTCAATTCCCGCCTCCTCAGCAAGCCGTATTCCCTCCTGGACGAGCACAGTCGCGATCCCTTTGCCCTTGTGATCAGGATGAACAGCAAGGTAGTCGAGGCCTTTATCCAAACTTTAGCTCAAGGTCTCAGAAGGGAAGGGGGAGGGGCAGTGGGCCCCGGCCCCGAATTTCAAGTCCGAAAGTCCGGGGGGCCACTCCCGTTTCTATTCATGACACCGACGGGAACTCACTGATATACGGCTTCTCCGCCAAAATCCGCATCTTCTGCGGAACGCAATCATCAATGCCGTCCATATCAATCGGCTCCCACCACGCCGCGTCAGCCCGCTCTTTGATCGCCCTCCTCTCCTCCTCGCTCACCGCATCATCTGCAATCTTGGATCCGGCCCACGCCACCGCGTCTCGGTGACCGGCCGGCAGCTCCCAGCGCGCGTAGCCCACGAGCTCGCCCGTTTGCGTGTCGACGGCCTTTTGGTGGCGCAGGGCGGCGGTGTCGCGCAAGAGGTTGTTTGGCAGGCGCTTTGTCGCTTCGGCGATGAGGAAGTCGAGGGTTGTGTTTTTGGGCCAGAGTAGGTTCCAGTTTGGGTTTGTCCAGAAGGCGGAGATGTTGTTGTGGGCTAGGGCGGGGCTGTCTGCGAGGGTTACGGGTTGGACTTTGTAAGGGGGCATGGTTTGGGATGTGGGAGTGTGAGGTTGAAGGTGGGTGTTATTCGGTGTTGGAGTTGAGATTTTGGGATGTGGATGTGTATGTGTTGATGGATTGAGAGTTTTGATGCTGGATTGCCAAGGATCGTGGGCGGCTTATATAAGAACTTGGGGGTTGTAGTCAATCGAGTGTTGCAAGTTAATGAAGCAAGTTGCGATGTGGTCTTTTCTTGATAATGACAGGTTTCCTTGATTGCGTGATTTATTATCTTCATCTTGTGAACGTGAGGTGCAGAGGTAGGCTAACTGGAACGAGCTGTGATGAAGAGTCACTGAGTACCCTGGATGAGTCTCTCGAGGACGTTGATTTGCTGGAGCACTTTTTGGAAGGATTTCGAGCCGTGTATCTCGGTCTATTCCCCGTAGTGGGAGAAGTGTCCCCCAAGTGGATGGATGGGGTGCACACTGCTTACTGGCCATGAATTCTTACATCGATTTCAACGGCAACATCACTCGTGGAGTCTTATCCATGATGATCAGAGCGCCTGGTTCGGAGCAAAGGTGGTTCCATTGAGATCTCAAAAACAGCGACTCTCGAGACCTCCAACAAAGTTATCAAAGGCACTCATTCTCCTGGGTTCGGAAAAATGGCATGACTCAAAGCTTTCCGTATCATAAGTGCTGATTGCTGACCGGCAAAGAATTGCCGAGAGCTCATCGAAGAATGACGTGTCTCCTTCACTTGCACCTTCACTTGTTCTTTCATCAGCTTCAATCGGACGCTTCTAAATCACGTCTTCTTACAGCGCCAATAGATGCACTACGGTTGAGAGGGAATTGGTAGGTCCGCCAGCCACGACATGAGCTCTAGGCGAACCTGAACTTTGTGTCGAGGGCTTTGACGTTTATGGCTTCAGTAGCTCCGTAGTCTCCGGGAAGATGCAGCTTGTAATGTAGAGACATGGAAATGATGTTGTAGTTGCGTGCTCATATCTGTACTTTCTAGGTCATCTTACGAGTTCTTCTCGCATCCGAGCGAACTGCGCGAGTCAGAAAGTTGAACAATAACTCTGGATTGACCAAAACAATAAACGGTCCAGAGCGTTTAAAAACAGTTAAGACTTGCTGCAAAAGACCATGCCTTTCTATCCGTGCCACACGGGTCGTTGAGATGGATTAAACCGCTCGCATTCATAGACTTTCTCTCCCACTTCCCCGAGATTACTCTCCGTAATACGGATCGTCAAAAAGGCTGAGGGTAAACGGCTGCTAGTCTCGAAGTATAATAGAAAGCTTTAATGATCTAGTGGGGTCCAGTTAGCAACTAGGACTCGACTGGAGGTAAGAAAACGACAACTTTATTACATGAGTCGCCTGTTCACTGTCTAATACCAGCTATCACGAGAACGAAACTCCACAATGCCGCCCGCCGGGACGGCGTCACCGCTTACCCTTGTATCGTGGGCACAACGGTATCCGTATGACCTCGTACAAGAAGATCAAATTAGGAGTAGGCACAGTCAGGCCATCACTTAGTAGAAGCTCAGGCCACGCACAAATTTAACACAGAAAGAATGGGGAGATGGGGGTTAACCGTTGCACATGAACTGTTATATAACTACTTGATTATCAGAAACAATCCCGTTTCGACAACTGGTACTTGAACCCAAACACCTTGCTATCCCACACCTACCCAGTCAAGATCCCATCAAACCGACACAATGAAGCTGTCTTCCTCCCTCTTCTTCGTCGCCCAGATGGCCGGCACCGCGTTCGCTCTGAGCGGCGATGGAGCAAAGTGCCAGCTCAACATTGAGTGCCTCAGTGGCTACTGCATGCCTCACACCGGCTCGTCGGAATACGTCTGCTGGGGTCAGCGCCGCAAGGGAGGTTAGTAAATGTCCCGCATGAGACTTGAGGTTCCCCAGAGAAGAGGTCTACAGAGTTGCTAATGGGAGTTTTGCTGTGGCTTAGATTGGTGCAATGTCAACTACTCCGGAACTGTGTGCAACAGTGGATTGACGTGTAAATCTTACCAAGGTACGTCTTCAAGGATCTCTTTCTATAGGTCGTGATTCGGGTTGCGTACTAAGTGTGGTATGCTGACGTTATTGATAGGGAGCTGGTTCCTTGGCAAGTGCACTTAATGTCCACATTGATAGCTTTACATATAACATATCACAAAAATAGTCGAAGTGATGATGGATCAGTCGATACAATAATGAATAAAACCTAGAGGGCTCAGATATCTTGATGATCTAACGTTCAGCTAGAGAGGCTTACATCTCAACAATGTGCCGGGGCGAGAATTTGTACCAACTCGCTTTCGTAAGAATGAAGTGTGCCAGTCGTGGCTCTTGATGAGCTGATCCGAATATAAATGGTGAAAGCAGGAGCATCTTAGGCAACACATGCTTTGAAATGGTATTATTATACGAGACACCGCTATATCCAACACTATCGTTGCCTCCTAGCTTCGCCAGCCTCCTTGCCCAGCTTCTCCAACGCATCTTCATACTTCTGCACCCTCTCCTCCTCGAAACCACCACTGTCGGGATCCCCGATACGCAGACGATCAACCTTGTCCGCGCGGCGGATCCCGCTGCTCGGCTTGGCAATCTTGCCCCAGAACCAACCGCTCTCGCCGTCCTCGACCAGCGTCCAGGCGGCACCGGCGCGGCCGGCACGCGCGGTACGGCCAACGCGGTGAACGTAGCCGGCGGCGCTGGCGGGGAGGTCGTAGTTGATGACGTTGTCGAGGAGGGGCAGATCGATACCGCGGGCGACGAGATCGGAGGCAACGAGGAGGCGGAGGCGGCGGGAGGCGAAGGCGCGGAGGGCGCGGCGGCGGTCCGAGGTCTTTTGGGTCGAGGTGAGGGTTGCGATGGAGGGGGCCAGTGCAGGGTGGAGGAGGGAGATGAGGCGGGAGAGGCGGAGGGCGGATTCGTTTGATTTGGTGAAGATGAGGGCTGTTGTTGTGAAGGGTTTTGAGGGAGATTTGGAGGTGGTTGTGGCGGCGGCTGTTGAGCTGGCGTCCGAGGAGCTGTCCGAGTCCGAGTCGGAATCCGAGTCGGAATCCGAGTCTGAGGAGGAGTCGGAGTCGGAGCTGGAGTCTGAGGAATCGTCTGATGAGGATGCGGCGTCGTCTTCCGCAGTCGATTTGGAGTCCGTCTTGGAAGCGGTGTCGGACATGAGGTGGCCATTGAGAAGGAGGTCGATGAGGTAGAGCGGTTTGAGGTTCGCGTCGTGTACTCTGATGGCCGACTCCTTGAGCAGAGTGGGCAGGGTATGCTCTGCAATAGGTGCCGTGCCGTCGGCTTTGTCGCCTTCCAAGACGATGAGCTGCGGCCTCCGAAGCTGCAGCCCACTCAGCAAGGTAAGGTCTCGCGTCAGGGTGGCACTGAGGACGACTTTGCGTACGCCGCTCAGATTTGAGTCGGGGAAATCGCGAGCGCTGAACTTGTTGGTGCTGAGCTTGGGCATGACGGTGTCAAGCCAGCCCTGGAAACTTTGAGCGAGGAGCTTGTCGGCTTCGTCGACAACCATCCAACGCACGTAGTCTAGTGAGAAGCCGGGTGTCAGGTTGATGTGCTCGACGAGCCTTCCCGGGGTGCAGATTAGGACGTCGACCTTGGATGTGTAGTCGACAACGTGATCCGGGAGAGACCCGGCGGTCGGCTTCGTTACTGCTACATCCTCATCTTCCGCCGCCGTGTCCTCAACATTCTTCCATGCCTCCAATTCCCTTTGGTGTGCGGCGCGGTATGCCTCAGGGTCGTACTTCTCCCCCTTCTCGACGAGGCTGGTCTGCTCGTGCTTCAACTGCTGACTACCGATGGAAATACCAATGCGCACCCTCTTCTGCTCGCGGCCGTCGAATGCGCTGGCGCAAAGCTCGAAAACCTCCTGAGCCTGCTTGACCAACTCACGCGTCGGCAGAACGACTAGGGCACGCAGTCTCGTCACGGCGCCTTGGCTGATGTCGCGCACAATGGGCAAGGCGTATGCCAACGTCTTACCGGAACCAGTGGCCGCCGCAACGAGAAGATCGCCCTGGCGATGCTTGCATGACGGTAGAAGCAAGGGAAGAGCGGCCGTCTGCACAGCAAAGGCGTCCTTGAAACCCTTTGACTCGAGAATCTGGGCTGCTTTCGGGTTGATGCCAATGTCTGCGAAGGGCGTCCGTGTGTCGGGAGCTACGCGGATCGGGGCGGCGAGCCAAGTTGGGAGCGTCTCGTATGAGGGTTTTGAGGTATCGAGGGCGGTCGGTTCGGGTTGTGGAAGGGGCACCAAGTCGTATTCTTCTTCCTTCTCCTCCTCCTCGTCCACATCCATCTTGTCCGCGGCTTCGTTCTTGGCGATCAACTCTGCTGATTTTTTCAAGTACTTTGTAGCCTTGGCCAAGACGTCCTTGTGTCTTCTGTCGATGGCGTCATCCTCTGCATCTTCATCCTGTCCGCGGTCCTTCTTCTTCTTTTTCTTATCCTTCTTCTCTTTGGTGTCCTCCCCGTCGCTACCAGCCTCGACAGCCGGGACCTCCGATACATGCTTTTTCGTTTTCTTCTTTTCCGAATTCGTGCCTTCTGATCCCGATTTCTTGAACTTCTTTGATGTCGTCTTTTCTTCGTCTGAGACAGCATCACCTTCTGACTTTCTTGACTTCTTCTTCTTGACGGGGGTATCTAAGGTCTCGACTGGCTCTTCATGTTTGCGCTTCGTTGCCGGAGAGAGCACGTCGTTGATTTCTGGTGCAAAACTTGAAATGGAAGCGCGAGGCTTCTTGGAGGGAACAAATCGTGCATATGGAACGGCCGCTGTGGTACCTTCGGTCACGACTGGCTCGCTAGCTGGTGTCGCGGATGGCTCTGAAGCTGGGGGAGGCGGCGGCGGCGGCGAAGGTTCGACAGGCGCCTGGGCCTCCTTCTTTTTGGATGGGACGTAACGAGCGTACATGGTGTCAATTGGGTTCTCGCGAACCTTGTAGAGTCGTTCCTGACGTTGTGCGCACCTCTGTTTTCGCAGCGAGGCTTGACACTCAAGTGTTGGAGGGGCACTTGTCGCACCGTCCCAAAAAAAAGTTGGATGGACTTCCTTATCGCAATTCTGCCAGGTTCTACCGCTTGCCACATCTTGCTTATCGGAGCACCATGCCGCAGCTTCCCCCTAAGCTTCCATCGCGCAAGGTACCTACCTACCTCCCCACGCTACCTTGACAGAGCAGGACCTTGAAGAATACACTTCACCTATATATTCCCTTTGCGACGACAGATCTTGTCTCGCGATTTCGCGTCTGACAACCTGCAATGCTTCAACATCGTTTTTCTAGGTGACCACCGCCCTCTCTGAGCATACAGACAACATGGCTCGAACATACAATATTGCTATGGCCAGCGACTTCTTCTTCCCGCAACCAGGAGGAGTCGAAAGTCACATTTACCAGCTCTCCACGAAGCTCATCGATCGTGGGCACAAAGTCATCATCATCACCCATGCGTATAAGGGCCGCACCGGTGTTCGAAATTTGACAAACGGCCTTCGAGTCTACCACATCCCGTTCCTCGTCGTATTCCGTTCGGCTAGTTTCCCAACCGTCTTTTCAGCATTTCCGATCATTCGCAATATCCTCATCCGAGAACAGATCGAGATCGTCCACGGCCACGCGAGTTTGAGCACCTTTTGCCATGAAGCTATTCTGCATGCGAGGACCATGGGTCTACGGACTGTCTTTACGGACCACTCGCTCTTTGGATTCGCCGATGCCAGCAGCATCTTGACAAACAAGATTCTCAAGTTCTCCCTGAGTGACGTCGACCACGTTATTTGTGTCAGCCATACCTGGTAATTGCGCCGCGCGTCCACTCTTGTATGGGCAAGACTAACTGAAATTGTAGCAAGGAAAATACTGTTCTCCGAGCATCTCTAGATCCCCTCATGGTTTCAGTCATACCTAACGCCGTCGTGTCTGAGAACTTCCGTCCACTCGATTATCCTCCTACCGACGCCAATAATGCATTTGGCCAAAACCCGCCCCCCGCACATCATCTGGGACCGAACGATGTAGTAACAATCGTCGTGATATCTCGTCTCTTCTATAACAAGGGAACGGATCTCTTAACGGCTGCGATCCCTCGCATCCTCGAGAATCACCCAAACACGAGATTCATTATTGCAGGCTCAGGGCCCAAGGCCATTGACCTCGAGCAAATGATTGAGCAAAATGTTTTGCAAGATCGGGTAGAAATGCTGGGTCCTATTCGCCATGAAGAAGTCCGCGATGTCATGGTTCGCGGCCATATCTACCTCCACCCTAGTTTGACGGAAGCTTTTGGCACTGTCATTGTAGAAGCAGCCAGTTGCGGGCTGTACGTGGTATGCACCCAGGTCGGTGGTATTCCTGAGGTCTTACCGTCGCACATGACTGTCTTCGCCAAGCCAGAAGAAGACGACCTGGTCGCTGCAACTGGAAGGGCCATTGCTGCACTACGAGCAAACAAGATCCGAACGGAACGTTTCCATGAGCAAGTCCAGAAGATGTACTCGTGGACGAACGTTGCTGAGCGCACCGAGCGTGTGTACCAGGGAATCACTGGCGAGCTCAGCGAAGCCGAATTCTATGGTTACGACGCTACTAATTCCTCGACGTTCGGCAACAGTCGAGTGCGATCTTTCGCCCTCATCGATCGACTCAAGCGATACTACGGCTGTGGTATCTGGGCTGGCAAGCTCTTTTGTCTCTGTGCCATCGTTGACTACTTGTTATACCTATTCTTGGAACTCTGGTTCCCGCGAGAGGAGATCGACATTTGCTCCGAATGGCCGCGAAAAGTTCCTCAAGATGCGGACGACTCCAAGGAAGACTGAGTGTAGTCGAAGTGTTCGATTCGCGCAGCTGGACGGGCTGCTCCGGGAAACGATTGTTCGGATATGCAATGAGCAAGCGACGCCAGATCTGGGTCAAGGTTCGAATCTAAATGAATAATTCCAGGCATTCAATAAGGTAAACTACGTTGCTGACCAGTGGTTATAGGCGTGGACCGGCGATGGCCGGCGGAAATCAACGGACATTGAAAATTGGTCCAGATTCTCCGCACTCCACGCTTCCCCGAGTCAGCCCATCGAGTCTTCCAGATCCGCAACGAAATGCTTCCAACGGGAGAAATCCGCCAATGGTAGCAGCCTGAAAGGAAATCAGCATGGAGTCGTGGTCTCGGCGCGCCGGATGGGCCTCCGTTAACACGACCCGGAGAGCCCCGACGAAAGGACGGGATTGGTTGGCATTCACGATGTGCTCAACACCATAGCGCAGGAACCATCTTCAACGGTCTAGGTCGGCAGTGAGCTGCCTGTTCCGGTCAGGCGCCCGGTGGGCCATGCGACCATCTAAACCCCCACCACACGCGCATCTCGACCATCTCACATGCACAGCGACACGAGACAAAATCCAGCGATTTCCGCCCCTCGTCAGCGACCTCTGGCAATAACCACCAGCGATACACATTGTTTGCCCATTATATCCTAGCCACAGTCGCTTTCTCACAACATCAACAAAGCGATTCATCAAGTTTCAACTTCATAAGACCCTGCACAACCACTTGCCCGCCATGGCCGCCGCCCAGGACCTCCCCATGGATCTCCCTATAGTCGACCTCGATGTTTTCCTCAATGAGCCGCGCGACTCCGCCGCTTTCCGCGACGAGTGCGAAAAGGCTGCGACTGCCCTCATCACCTATGGTGCGCTTGTCCTGCATGACTCCCGAGTCGCCGAATCCGACAACACTACTTTCCTCGACTTGCTCGAGGACTACTTTGCCCAGCCGACCGAAGAGCTCAAGAAGGATGAGCGTCCAGAGCTGAGCTACCAGATCGGCGTCACTCTTGAGGATACAGAGAAGCCCAAATGTGCAGTTGACGAGCCCTGCCTGCAGGTCATCCAGCGCTTGGCAGAATCTGAGCGCCCTCTCGACATTACAGCACACGACCCCGACCCAAAATGCCGTTTCTTCTGGCGCATGGCCGAGAACCCGCCGTACGAGACCGAGTTCCCAGGACTCAACGCCCCTAACGTCGTTCCCGAAGCCCCGCACATTCGCGAGCGTTGGCCTCCTGCCATGGACAAGTGGGGGACTTCAATGAAGCAGGCCGTTACGGGCCTGGCAGAGATGGCGGCGGTCGGCTTGGGTCTCCCTGCCGATGCTTTTAGCTCTGCTGGCAAGTATGGACCTCACCTTCTCGCACCAACGGCCTCCGACTTGGTCAAGTACGGCAAGCCGGATACCATTCTTGCTGGCTTCCATACAGACTTGAACTTCCTGACCATTCACGGTCGGTCTCGGTACCCAGGCCTGCACATCTGGGCGCGCAACACGGGAAAGAAAATTGCCGTGAAGATTCCCGAGGGCAACTACTTGCTCGTCCAGGCCGGAAAGCAGTTGGAGCATCTGACGGGAGGTCTCATCAAGGCAGGCTTCCACGAGGTTGTGGTGAATGAGAAGACACTCGCCGTGATTGAGCGCCGCAAAGCCGAGCTCCCCGATCGCCCGCTCGTCCGCATCTCGTCGACGTTCTTCTGGCACTTGTCATCAGACCACGATCTCACTCCTATTCCTCAACTATCGGAGCAGGCGCAAAAGGTCAGGGCTGAGCAATTTAACCTGGGCAGGGACGAGGGCGAAAAGGTCGAGTATGCGCCCATGAAGGTGGGACAACAGGTGCAAGAGTAAGTGACACAATCACTTGAACGTGTTTTCGTCTTGACGCTAACAAACGATGATAGGGAGCTCAAGCACATTGCTCTGATGACATGATGAGAAACAAGATTCGCTGTATTATGAAAGAGCTATTAATGACAAATTTCCAAAGCGTGGATATGCTTTTTTAAGCCTTGTAGAATTCCTCGCCCACGGCGACGTCCACCTTTTCCTTTGCAACTCTGTCAACGGCAGTCTTGGGGTCTTCGTCGCCGTCCAGCAAGTCTACCCACGATGTCGTGAAGCTGTCATTCTCGGCAATGAGCGCGGCGACCTCGGCGACGGTCTGTCGACTCGAAGTGCCCTTTGCCTCCTTTGTCTTTCCAAACTCAATCTTGCCCGCAGGCTCCTCGGTCAGCAAACCAGGTCTCAGACTGATTCCCGCAAATCCATCGGTTCTCTTTTGGGATTCCTGCCAGAGGGCCTCGTCGGCGGCGATCTTGGCGAGGGAGTAGTTGTACAGCTTCTTGTTGCCGTCGAGGGCGTCCTGCCAGGCTTTATCAGACCACCAGGTTGGTTTCGTCTTGCGGGAGCTGAGGTAGGACACGAGGATGAATTTCTTAATGGAGGGTGTGGCGACGGCGGCATTGATGAAGTGGATTGCGGCGTCGCGGTCAATGGTGAAGGTGCGGGAGGGGTCGCCTTTGCCGCCTGCGCCGGCGGACCAGAAGATTGTGTCGGGCTTGACTTCGTTTAGGATGTCTTGGGCTTTTTGTTGGGTGGTTACGTCTTCGATGCTGCGGACGAGGACGTTGAGTTTGCCTGATGACTGGCCGGCGCCGAGCTTCTCGATGGCGGGGACTTGGTCTTGGGCGCGGATTATGGAGGTTACGGTCCAGGACTTTTGGAGGAGGATGGGGGTTAGGTGTTGAGAGACCTTGCCGTGGCCGCCGAGGATGAGGACGTGCTTGCTCATGATGGGCTGTGTTTGCTGTGGACGTTGACTATCTAAAAAAGAATGCGTGGAGCTTATTTGCTTGAGCAAGGTACGTCGTGATGTACTCGAGTGTGGTTAGATATGGCAAAACGTCTCGTGAGAGAGAGAGAGAGACAACCGATCTATATAGGATTGTATGTTTGGTACGGAAGACGAGACCGCGGGGCTTTGAAATCAACCTGGATGGCTTCCCCGCTCGGCCCCATCAAAGTACGGCGTTAAGCGGCCGTGGAATGACTTTGATTCGGATGCGGGCGGAGTGGCCGAGGAACAGTACGGGGATACATTGCAAAGTTCAACCCCGCGGATGAGCATCCATTCTCGGGGATCGGGGGGTCACGTCACGTCACTGGGGCGTCAGTGACGTAAGTCCCGCGAGTTTATTTGGTTTACGGAGTACTTTTGAGATGTTCCCCACCAGGTTGGCTAAAAGCCGAAAACGAGCCTCTTTGGGAAAGCACTCAATTGAGTTATTTTCCCAGTGCTTGCCCGAGTCAGAATCCATGGATATCGGCGTTAGTTACTCAGCAAGGTAGACGTCAGTCTTGGCCAACATGCCGTGACCATCACGAATTACACCCCTCTCTCTCTGAGCAATGCTGGGTATCATCATACGCTCATGCTCAATTGTACCTCTGATAACGTGCTCGTACTCTCGGAACCTATGACTCAAGCATCTAGCAGATCAAAGTCGCCAGGGAAACCGAGGGCAGCGAGATCGAACCCCTCCGCCTCAAGGCCCGGCACGCTCGACTGGAAGAAGTGAGGCGTCATGGGCTGGAACATGTCACCCGTGATGCTCGTCCGCGTACAAGAGGGCGAGGCCTCTTCGCCGAATTGAGCTGCTGCTGTTGTTGTTGTTGTTGTCGCTGCCGCCGTCGCCGTAGCGTTGGCGAGAAACTCCTCTGTTTGAACCCGAGACTCTGGGCCGACCGGCGACAGCGGACGCGGGAACTCGTCCAGCGCCATCTCTCGAATCATGCGCAGCGTGTTACGGTGCACGACGATAATCTCAAGCTGGCCCATCAATGCCATCAGCGCATCCGCTGATTCGGACCTCATTTTGCGCGGACCTACTCCTGCTGCTGCTGCTGCTGAGTCTGCTACGTTGGTAGGTACACTCAACTCAAACAGCGGCACCTCCCTCGCCAAGATATCAAACGCATCCCTAAGACAAACACTCTGCGGCCACCGCTCCGCGAGGATGGAGAGAACGACGCTACACGCCCTCACGGCCTCCGCCGCCTCGGGCGCCGCGTACGCTTCCGTCCTGGCCCTGGGCGGCGTGGCGAAGAAGCAGTACAGCAGTGCGACGCCGCACTTGAACTGCGCCACGAGACCTAGCCATAGTTCCGCGATGGGCGGCGCGTGGTTGTGGTGATCGTGGGGGCCGCGACACCGCTGGAACTTGCGGAAGATGAGGCAGGCTTGGATGCAGGATTTGACGGTCCAGTCGCCTGCTGGGCCCGGGCAGGTCATGCGGGTTGGTTGGTGGAGCATTGCGAGGGAGTAGTTGTAGATCATGTGGAGCCATTCTGGGTGGGTGAAGGTGCGGGTACGGGTGCGGGTGCGGGCACGGAGGTGGGTGTTTGATCCGGGGCCGGGGCCGGGGTTGGGGCGGGAGTGGGAGCCCAGACCTCCGGAGGAGCCGTCTGCGTCTGCGTCTGCGTCTGCATCGGCGTACCGGTGGCAGAGAGCGCGCCAGCGGTCTAGTTTATCCAGGACGCGGAGCCGCCAGTGAGGGAGATTGTTGAAGTGTGTAGAAAAGTCACGGTGGAGGGTCGTGTTGAGGATCTCGGATTGGATCTGGCGGCAGTAGACTACATGCAGGGCGGCCGAGACGCTCGTCCGGCCGCGCGGGTGGTGATGGTGGTCTGGAAAGGAGGCGGTGCCACATGCGGCATCCAACTCGGCGTCGTCAATGTTTGCGTAGAGTTTGACCGTGATTTGGTAGTCTGGGACGGAAAAGGGGAGGTCGAATGTTGTGCCGACGGCGCGGTCTAGGGTGTAGGCTGACCAGAAGACGCGGCGGCGCATTTGGATTCTGAGCTTTGTTGCTGCAGTTTCTTGAAATGAAGAGGAGGAGTCAGAGGTGGAAGAAGCAGACGGGACTAGTGGTTCTGCGTCGGCGAGGTGGAGCTGGGCCATGACGCAGTAGCGCATCGTTGCCGAGGCGATGGAGATGATGCGTTCTGTCGAGGGGGAGTATATCGCGTGCATGGCGAGGAGGAGGTGGGCTTGGATGTGGAGGAGGCGGTCTTGGAGGGCGAAGACGTGGGAGAGGTATTTTGTCACGGCGAGGCGGTAGAAGGTTTGGTGGGTGTAACTGTGATTATGGCTAGGAGGGAGGCATTCCTGATAGGTAGAATGATGGCAAGGCCAGTCTTGTGAGTGAGGCTTCTCGAGGAGGAGGCCTATGGAGAAGATCATGTTGGTGAAGTAGGACGCCCATGCTTCCTTTGGCCGCCTTGCTGGGTTGCGGAAGTCGTCGAGGCGGAGGAAGGGGTAGCGGCAGTGGACTTTGTCTTGGTAGGTGTCGAAGAGGGAGGCTTCTGTTGCGATGTCGAGGGGGACCTCTTGGTCGTGCCTCTGTGCTGTGTTGTTGGCTCTGCCACCACCGTGGAATGATGGAGTAGGCGGTAGTGATGGTGCTGGTGGGTTGTCTTCCTCTGAGCGAGCAAAGGTAGCCAAGAGGCCAATGGCGGGCGAGCTCCTCGAGAGCGAGGCTTCTGGTCCGAGTCCCGGCCCCGGTCCCGGTCCCGATGCGAATGAGACCCTGCGTCGGTGGTGATGCTCCTCGTCACTGTGGTGATGTTTGCGAGATGCTTCATGCACGCGGGACGACGATGATGGTAACGACGACTCTTGCGCATGGTCATGACCGTTGCGATTGTCGTCGACGACCGCTTGAAGTCGAGCGTTGGTCTCCTCGAGACGCGATATGCGCTCCTCCAACGACGCGATGTCACCCAGCCAGGCCAGGGGCGTGTGTGTTGATGGATGGAGGTGGTTGTGGTGGTGAAGATGGTGATGGTCCGAACTCCTAACGAGGGGGGTTGATACCGCAGCATCAGTATCAGACAATGAGTAGGGGAAGAACCAGGAAGTTGGACCAGATCGGCGGAGCAGATCAATCGTCGCAAATCACCCTCTTTCAGCCAACAACGTGAAACCATCCGTAGATGTTTCCGTTTTGGTAACCGGGGGAGAGGGGGGGGGGAGGGGGGAGCCTTACAGCGGAGGGAACCCGGGGCCCGGGGGCCGGGTTTGATAGGACGACGGGAGCACCGCCTCGTTGCATTGCTCTCCTGACCTGGCGCAGTTGGCGCAGGGTCTTTGATCATCGCATTTTTGCTGTACGCAGTAGAGGATTATCAGCCCTTTCTCTCTCTCCTACTCTCTCTTCGGGTTTCCTCTTCTTTTGGAATGGTGGGGTTTGAGTTGTGATGATCGGCGTCAAAGGGTAACCCAACTTGGGTAACGAGTGGCTGTTTCAAATATGGTGATGGTGCTGCTCTAGGGTACCAGAGAATGAATGTCTCTGGCTCTCACGCACAGCGTCCACAGGAAGCAACAGTAACATACCTTTCGCCGTCGACACCGTGAACAGGCCTGCGTTTTGGTCCGCTTGGCCGGTGGTTCGTCGCGGTCTTCGGGCGCGGGTGCGGCGGTTGTGGGGTCGAACGGCGAGCCGTTGGCGGGGCCCTGTGGCGTCATGGCCGTTGGGGGGGGGGGCTTTGATGGATGTTTCTTGTTTCCTTCTAGCGTTGTTGCTTTCTATTTATGGGGGAGCTGAAGAGTTCAGTTGTTTCGAGTATAGGGTAGTGGGAGGGATTGTATTCACACTGGCGGAGAGCTGGCATCATACGCCTCCAAGTCATGTAAAGGCAATGATGTGCTCTTCACGTTACTAAGGGCGGGAGAGTTTGAGGGAGACGAGAAGGTGGATGATTGACGTCCAACTGAGGTTCGCCGAGGAGATGGTGCGACTGATAAGCATATCCGTATCCTTACGTGGTAATCACTCGGCATCCTGTCAGTCAGCCTCGGGCGGGAGATAGCGGTGGGACTCTGGAGTTGTGGGTCATTTCCCCGTCTTCTCTGATCGGGAGTTGCGCGGTGATAAGATGGAGTATGGGGATGATTCCCGTGTAAGTCAATTTCATGGGGAGCGAAGAGGTAAAGATAGCCAGCAATACTATGCTGGGGCATCTGAACGGCATTGCAAAACACAAAGTCGCAATACCAAATCATGATACTAATTAAACGCGGCTTATTGTCGTATTGAGTTACGCGCTTTAGGATGGTAGGAAATATCTAATGCCTTGTTCATCACTTCTACCCTTGCAACGTGAATTTCGAGACGGTCATCATGGGCCTCATTTATTCTTTTCTTATTTTGCATAGTCCAAATTTTTCGCAAAGCTCACTTGCTTCTGACAAGAAGACGAATAAACACAATCCCACGATGCTCAGCCTCTTAGCTCGAGGCCATCTGTAACAACACAAATACTAACCAGAAAACGTGGAGCGGGTTCGGATTCGTACGTCGTTTGTCTTCCCAGTCTGCCGCTTTGACGCTTCCCACGGCATCAACTGCATAGGGCCCGCGGTTGCTGCGCCGGAAAAGAACCCGAATACGTTCGAAACGCAAAGGAAAAGCAAAGATGAAGCGTAAATGAAGTTCCTAGACCTCGGCAGATTTTCTTGATTTCCAAATCTCGAAAAAAGTTGGTTGAGACTCGCAATGATGCGGCGCCATGCTAGAATAGGCATGCATACCGCGACATCCTCAAAGAAAACATCCCACGTAGCTTCTTCCAGTGGATGGTACCGAGGCTTCCCCAGAAGAGACGATCGACGGTGCAACCCTCGATCACTATAGTTGCACTATTACCATTCAGTATATCTCTGACATTGGCGTCCCAATCACCAAGTGAGAGAGTGCACACCCAACGTTGGGACGGACTGCTACTACATGACGTGTCTACCCTCCTTCCTCCTCTGCGGAATGGGCGAGATCAAGTAAATAAGGTGGGTAGCATTATGATCAATCTGAAGAAGAAAGAGTACAACTCGACCAGCGGAACGAGCCCGACCTCGGGCCCGGGTCGCCCACCGCCCGAACAGACGCCCTGCCTTGTGTCGTAAGATTCTCGGTGGGCGACCGAAAGGTGCCTTGTCCTTTCTTCCTCTCCTACTCCGTACACCCTGTCAAAGGATTGTTTTGACAACTACGTTTTAAAGGTCTTGACTGCCGAAGGGGGTCGACAGGCCTCTTTCTTCATGCGGAATCAAGCCAAGCAGCAAGCTGGACCAGGGGCAGCGTGCCGAGTCAACCGAACGCATGGGAGACGCTGAAGAAGGCCCTGTTCCTCTTGTCGCCTGGTAGGGCATAAGGATGTGGAGAGGGTTTCTATGGATAGCAACAAGACAGCAAGAGTCTTGCCTGATTGCCAGTGCAGAGAAGGAAAATGTTCCGTGGCCGGTTACCGAACGGAGATCGTGCAAAGCCCTCAACTCCCCCTCCCCTTTTCTATGGTCTCCCTGAATGCCCGTACTTGACGGCGTGTCGGTGTTAGAGATGGCTGGATTGGGGTTGAGGAGGCCTGCAGAGGCGACCAGTCTGCTCAGGAAAACCTGAAAACCGGTGCAAGCAAGTGTGCGATCGCCGGGGGGGTAACGGAGTACAGACGGTTATGGGTTGCGACGCGGGGATCATGCAAGTTTCCGAGTTCGAGGTTGGAGTTGTGAGGGCGAGTTTGACAGGTGACGCCGTGACGGGGGTGTTCCGACGTCAGGTCGGGCAGCGGTGGGTTGATGCGAAAGAGGAGACGAGGAGGATCTTTCTCTCTCCTCTTCTCTCTCTCTCTCGTCCCCCAGGGATTAACAACATTAGTCCGGTTTCTCGTGACTCTTTTAGGGAATGAGAGACAATACCCTGATTACCTTTTTGAGAACGGATATGTTCGATAGGCTCTTTTGCGTTGCAGCGTCGGATTTGAATGTGACGCCAGTAGTTAGTCTAGTTGGGACTCCCCACTTTGCCCTTCTGTGCTTAGACAATGGGGGCCACCCCCGATCGAACTGCCTGTTGTCCAGAGACTTTCATATCCGTAGACCGAGAGACTGAGAGCCTCAGAGAGACAAAAGGGCTGATGGAACTTTGAAAGAGACATTGGCGGGACGTGAGGGATGAACCTGGAGAGGGGGTGGTTTGGCGGCCGGAAGGGCGGGAGAAAAGGTGGGACGAAGGAAGAGTTGAGGGTTTCATTGGTCTGAAGAAGACCAACTCAAACAGTTCACGTCTGAAACGGGCTGGCAGCAACCCTGCGCGGGGAGGGCATTAGATCCCTGGGGGGGAGGGAATAAGAGTGAGACTAAGACGTGACTACCGAAGACCACATTATTCTGTACCCATCTTTGGCTGTTAGTTGTTACTAGTTGTTTTTGCGGGACGGGCTTGACACGCTTCTTGTCCGTCAAGTACGGAGTAATAGGTAGCCCAGGTAGGTAGACACATTGAGTCTAGTGCTGCAGACGACTGTGCATCGGAGCCGCGCTTGAGCCTCCAACTGGCGTGCAGGGATCAATACCATTGTGAGACGGTTGCGACCCCTGGAGATCCCTGGTACATTCATCTTTGTCGTTGACATACCTACCTACCTATTCTCTCTCACACACACACACACACACACATAACGCACAGAGGAAGAGGAGTGTGAGTTGCGCCCTCTCTCACTGTCCCGACTCTGCGTCACGTCAGCCAAAACTCTCACAGTAAGGTTTCTCGGATGATGGGGGGGTTCAAACCGTAAGAGATTCCCTGTGAACGACGGACCGAGGGAGAGACGAGGGATGGGTAGGTATACAATGTACATGGCACCATGCCATGTACTTCTGTCAGAAATATTCCGAAGAGTGTAAGAGTTGTAAGAGGGAGGGGGTACGTGGCCACCAGGCACATCTGTGTTTAAAGATTCCTATCCCCAGCCCTCTTTTTCTGGGACGGTAAGCGCCTTGGTCTCTTTTATTTATTTTGGGACTGACATTGTATGATGTTTATTGATTGTTTAATTTGCCTTGTTTGAACTGGCCTCTACGTTGACAGCTTCCGAGGCTTGGCAACAGAACAGAAGACAACTGGGACCAAGAGGGAATAGAGAGGGCGATTGTTGAGCCGCTGGATCGACTTACATCGGAAAATACGCCATCACCTGACCTTTACCCGGTCATTCTTGGATACTGAACCTGTTTCGACATCAGGATTTCATCATACCTCACCACCATTCGAGCTGGTTACGAGGCTATTCAGAGGGTTTCCTTACGACATAACAAGGACCTCGATTTACACTGAACATAATCTACCACGACGCAACGAATATACTCAAACGGCCTTACATACCAAACATATTCCACAAACTACGGCAGCGATAATTACTTACTCCCCCGACTCAACCATCTTCTTTCATCATGGCCGAAAACCAGCCCGACGCCAAAACCCCTCCCACAAGCCTCGGAGGGCAGACGGGAGTGGGAACAGGAACACCAAACACCTTGAGCGGAGCAACAAGGGCACAAACATCACCAACACCCTCAATAAAAGCGACGCCATCATCATCATTGCCTGCTAGATCCTCATCATCATCCTCCTCCTCATCAGCACCAGTAAGGCAAAACACACCAACGCCATCTCAGACGCCCTCACAAACACCAACGCCAACACCCTCACCACCGCCGCCGCCGCCGCCGCCGCCACCACCATCAAGTTCCGCCCGACCCCTCACAACATTCATCATCTCAACCACTACAAACGCAACATCAACACCAACACCATCACTCTCCGACCCACCACCACTCCCTTCACCAACATCTATCCCAGGCGTGATACCCATCTCAACACCAGGCGGCGGCGACCTCACCCCCTCACCAACACCATCCTTCATCCCTCCGCCCCCGCCGCCCGTGATACCAGAAACCACACCCCTCCTAAGCCTCACCCCAACCCCAACACCAACACCCACACCAAGCGGTAACACCAACACCGGCAGCGGCGGTATCGCTTCGCCCAGCCAAGCCGAGACCTCGGGCGGCAGCAACGTGAAGCTGATGCCGGCGCTGCCCATCGCGCTGGGCTCCGTGGGCGGGGTGTTGATCTTTGGGTTGGTGATTGGCATGCTGTACCGCAAGGGCCGGTGGCCGTTCCGCAAGAGGCGGAATTTTGCGCAGATTGATGAGCTGGAGGTGGAGAGGCAGCAGGAGCTTGAGAGGCAGAATAAGATGAAGTGGGATCCGAGGGTGACGAGGACGTATCGGACGCAGGATGCGGGGGTGAACTTTTGATGATCCCAAGGAAGGGTAGTACTACAAGATTCAATGACAGCTGCAAGACGACTTGAACGTCTAGATTCACATTGATATTTCAGGAACCTCAAATTTGCTGTGATGTTTATGTGAAGTACCTACCCTAGTTACTGGAACCGAGCTTTCACCGCTCAGCAAACAAGTTATTTGCTACCTCTCAACGTAGTATCACGACTAGGAACTGCTATGTTTACCTCATTTCTCAAAAAAAAAAAAAAAAAAAAAAAACTATACTTCTTGTTTTCGCTTCATGCTCATGTGTAAAACAGCCATTCGCCAGCACTCACTGAACGTTTCTTCCGTGAGATTGCTAGGAAAACGGAACACTGGAAGACACTCGCCGACTCGGCGCCGTTCTACCTGGAGCACGAACCAGGTACATAAAGAAAAGACAGGACATTCACACAGGTAGCTACAAAGACAGCGGGAAAGACTGTCCACGAATCATCCCAACCTTTTCTCAAACTGCTCGCAACGCGGCCGTTCCTCCAGTCTGTATTCTTGTCCCCCTCCCTCTCTGTTCTGGGTCCCCGGTGGGTGGATGGGTGGGTGGCTCCTGCGCTACTTCAAGTCTTGCCATAACCAGAGGGTGGTCCCTCTCTCCTCACCTCAAGTGATAGAGTTTCCCGCGCATCGCCCCGAAAGGCTGGCCTTTTCTCAAGTTCGGATTTCAGCGGTGATTTGACTTCTGAGAAGCCGGGGCCGGTAAGTGTTCGGTACGGGCAGTTATGACTAGATGGGACCTGTGGGTGTGGGACCGCGTCACGGCCGCGGAAGCGGAGGGGCGGACGTGTGAGATACACTCGGATGGAATTGCGACTTGTGAGATCCGGGGCCCGGGGGCCCGGAGGATTGTAGAATATGGGAATTTCCACCAACGGGACATCATCATCTTATTGAGCTGACAAATTTGCACGAGACATATCCTGACAGAATGGGAGGCGAAATATGTTGAAAGATGGCAAACCAGTTTTATCTAGATTTCGGATGGCCGAGGATAGAGTTACGAAAGCGATGAACCTGGAACCGGTGGGAACCCGCAACCCAGCAGTCCCTAGTAAATCCGGCACTTATCAACCCAGTAATCCGGATTGAAAGGACACAAGGATACACCTAGACAGAGCCTCCTACTCTCTTCCCGCTCATCAGCTCTTGTACGACAAGGTTCGACTAATGTCGGGTTCTTCCCTAGCCGACGGGGATGGATGGTGGGCGCGCGGCGGGCGGGTAAAGCCTGTCGTGACAGGTGGCCAAGCAAGGCTTCCCGCGTGTTGGAGTAATAGCGAGCGTTTATTTGGTGGATTTTCGTTGGGGGCATACGGTTAAGGCGGGTCTGATGTAGAGGGAAGATATCTGTTGGCGGGGTCTTCTTATGTGAGAAAAGCTGTTGTCGTGTTTAATGGACATTCGCCGAGTGAGAGCAGCACGTTCGACTGCCTCGGACGTAATCGTTTTCATCGTTTCTACCAAGGCTTATGGCTAATGTTGAGTCGCCAGAGTGTTGGTGCTGGCTCTATGTCAGTGTAATCAAAACCATGTAACCGGAAGAATCCAATATAGCTATTCCGTCAGCTCATTGAGTGACAGGTCGAGACAGCTATGCACTATACGTGAAGCTAAGTCCTTCAGATCCTTCCCGATGATCTGTCTTTCGCTTTTGCCACGGCCCTGGTCGAGGCCACAGGCCCCTACCACGCGCAGAGTAGATTCATCAACACCAACCGGACTCGATCCCCACACCGGCCCTTCGCCGGAAACAACATCCCCGCCACTGGAACTGACAGAAGCAGCCCCATGCCTCGGAATCCTCATCCTTCAACGCCGTCCATCCCTCCGCCCCTGGGTCAAACACTTCCGTCTGTTCAAAAAGTCCCCTCCACTCTAGACACTTCGTCCAACCCCTCCAACACATCCGTCTCGTGACCCGCTCGATCCGCCACCACGGCCGTCGTGATCGTCCAGCCGGCTACAATGTCAGATAGCTCCATCACGTAATCCTTCCCTAGACCACCGCTATGTTGGGGCGATTCAGGGCGATGAATAGGTAGATGGAGATCGGGGTTCATGTGTTTGTGAGGATGTCGAAGAGCGCTACGAGTCTGATATTGTTCTATGTTCCCGCCTCCGTTCATCCCGTGATGCCGCCGGGAATGGTGAGGGTTGTGGTTTTCAGAGCTGCAGTGGTGTGTTACGGACGGGAGAAGATCGGGATCGGGACGAGGTCTTGCCATGTACCGCCGGCCGTGATGACATGGAATGATGCGCAGGCGTGAGTGAAGATCTTTTTTGAGACAAAAGCATGAGGTATATCTGTGATTAGAATGACCTGGAGTCACATGTGAGTCTGCGTTCAATATCACTTTAGTCCCTACAATGGTGGGGAAAGTAGATTTATGGTATATTAATGAAACTCCAAGCGTTTCCCTAACACTCAGCGTATATACAGCCGCTATTCCGCGTCAACGACCTCGAACTTGACGAGGATGGAGCACTTGGTCTCTCTGCCCTTGAGATCAAGCATGCGAATAAACACCCAGCCCGGAATGGTGTAGAGCAATCTCACCGCGCCAACAGCAAATATGGGGTTCTTGGAGAAGCTGTCATCGCTCTTGATGAGCATCCGCAAGAAGACCATCTCGTTGTCCTGGTATTCCCACTCGAGGACCTCGTCCCATAAGGGGTCGGTGGGAGGCGGGTTTTCGCCCTTGTGCAAGAAACCCGTCAACTTGTGCTGTTTATAGCCGGCCGTCTTCCTTTTTGGAGGCTTGATCTCCAGATCATGTGGATGTACGAGTGTGCATGTCAGGTAGGGCTTGATCGTCTCGTCTTCATCGCGATCGGATGGCACGGGGATATCGGTGGCACCGCCGACGTGCAGACGGAGCTTCCGCTTCCTTCCGTTGCCGAGGTGGCCCGAGCCACCAGCCCGGAGCTCAGCGGGCTTGAGAATGAAACCCTCGGAACCAGCGAATAGAGCCTCATTGAGCTGCATCGATGCTCCAAAGGTCTGCCAGTTGAGAGCGCAGATCTGGGCGCCAAGTCCCCAGAATGGAACGGGGTGGAGGTTCTTGGATGAGATACGGGTTCCTTTGGGGAAAACACGCATAAGATGGTGAGCATTGTGGCGCGAAATTTTGTCAGTGTGCGTGGGCAGATGAGAGGCCAGCCCAGACTCGGAGACATTGATGAGATGATGGTGCGGCGCGTCCTGCAGAACCTCTTCAAACCACGAATTGTTGATAGGCTTGACGGATTGGGCGTAAACACCGAGGGCCTCTAATTCTGGGACAATCAGCGAAGCAGGCGCAGCCTTCTTCTTGTCCTTGTAGTCTTTCTTGGCCTTCCTTTCTTCTTCGTCATCATCACTCGAGCTCGAGCTGCTATCGTCGGCCTCTCTAGGGAAATGATATTCGACAATGACGACAATCTTGTTGCCGAGTTCCTCGAGACGGACGTGGTTGGCCTGACCGTCTTGCTCTGCCTGGCCCTTTTCTCGGATCGCTTTGCTAAGAAGTCGATCTCCAAAGACCTCTCTCATGATGAATGCCAGGCGCAGCTGACCCTCGGGGTCGCAGTGATTTTCGAGAGACAGAAGAATTGGTGCAGCCGGATGGGGTTCCTTGGCTTCTTGATCGACGACATCGCGGATGGTCTCGCAGACGGTGCGGAAAGGAATGTTGGAGACGAGAGTGTATCCGTGGGTGACCTTGGGTTCGTCCTTGTTGTCGGGGTTATCCCAGGCATCGATCTCGACGCATCGGGCGCCAGCACGCAGCGTCTCGTCGTAGGCCTCGGCCGAAGAGCTTCCATAAAGCTGATGGGCCAAGAGGTAGGTGTTGTGGCTGGAACTGATGAAGTACTCGGGCAATGGATGGGATCTATCAGTAAGCTCGCGGGGCACGCTGATGTGGGGCTTGTAAACGAGAGCCTGCAGCTCAGGTGAGAGCTGTTCCGAGTCGATGTTTGCCTCCTTGGAGGACAGGGCGTTCTGATCGACGAGGAAGGACTTGATGGCACGGCTCACGCGGAGACGGTGCTTAAGGTCTGAGTCGCGGGCGGCGTGGCCTCCACCGGCCAAGGTGGTGTTGTCTGTCGCATCGCCAAGCTCTTCTTCGTCCTCTGGTGCCCTCTTGGAGAAGGGATTGAGGTTGGCAAACTTTGAGGTGAGTGAAGCCATTGCTGGTGACAACTCCGCAGCTTTTGTCTCTGTATTGCCTCTTCCGGAAGTGAGGACGATTGTTCTGACTCGAGATGTCCACTGGGTACGCGGGGTAGGTATGTGTAAATGTTAAAAGCAGAGACTCAGATGGTCGCAAACAGGAATGGTGGAAAGAAGGACAGCTTGGGAATGGGGAAACCGACGACGTCAATCTTGGCTGATGCAAGCCGCGTAAGGTAGCAGCAGCGCAACAGCAAGTGGAAGGAACAAGCTGAGCTGCCCCTCCTTCCCATCAGCTCAGCTCTTGCTGCCACACCTGCCGCACCTGCCTTCCAATGGAGGGGTTGCGAAGTGGAGCCGCTAAGATTAGATTGGCGGGGAGCTTACGGAGCTTCGGCGAATTAAATACCAGTTCCTTTTCCTTATTTGGTTAGAGGTAAGCTTACATAAGTCCCGGCACTCAGTCTCTCCAATGTTCTTCGCTTGGGGCCCACAGGTCTTGGTCAAGTTCGTCTCAGCTTTCCACACGAACACGCGAACACCTCCATCAGATGGCGCTTGATCATCGCTCGATTCGCTTCTACCAGATAACCCACTCACGCCCGATCCTTCTATTCTTGCTTGAGACCCCTGCCAACAAGGCGATTGAGGGTTCCCGATGACAACCATGGACTGACGATACTCTCCATAGCTTCAACTTGGAGAATCGAGGCTCAACAAACATTCGGCCATTTGTTAAACAATCAGACGATGCTCTGAGCAGCGAATACAACCAGTCAGGCTCCCCGAGACACTTTCAATCCAAGTGTCCTCAAGGACAAGTCAAGAATAGTACGGTACTACCCGACCTTTCTAATGGCAGCGTCGTCAGCATTCCTATCCAAGCCGGTTCTCTCGCCAGACTTATTCTCCACCTCGGCGACTCTTTACCGGCTGGGCATCTTGGAGACTGGGCGGCATCCGGACACACTCGTTCAGCCTTGTGGGTCCAGCCGTGCTGCAAGTTGAAGCTCCTCCGAGGTTGTGGTTTCCGCCCCCAACCCCCTTGCTATGCCCTAGACCTCGTGGCATCCCCCTCTGTGCCCGTCCTCGGGAGTGCGCCGTGGACTTCGTCGAATTCCAGGCAGGCAAACCAAGTACCATTCCGAGCATCTCCGAAAATATTGGGCAGAGTTCTGTGCACCGGTGCCGTCCTCCTCCAAATACGACCCCACGCTCGTTCCGGAGGCAGCTAGCTTCTTGTGTTAGTCGCTCCGGCTCATGGATTCGTCTGGCCAGAGTTGGTGTTAGCCTGCAATACCTACCTAAATACTCCGTCGTGAATACTCGGCTTGCGGTGCCCCTCTGTCTGGCAAATTGATTATCGGCTCTTGTGTGTCAAGTCAAACGCCAAGCCCTCACCATCTTCGGTCGATATGCCTTCACATTGATATTTCCCGGGCGCGTGGGTTGAATCCTTGAATGACGATCACTTCGCGCGGCAAGCAGATACAGGCATCGGGCCTGACAGCCAGCGACACGTCGAAAAGCCCTTGGATCGGAGGGGAATGTTTGGAGATGTCTCAGTCTTATTCCTGGCTGCGCCCGCAAACGATAGGATGGACCAGACGACTTGAAGCATTCCTCATCATCATTGGCAGGCGAACCAAATGCAGCTCGGAGGGTTGTTGACCTGGCGATGCATGTGCGAAAAAAAAGAACCATCGGGTCTCCAAGAGGGCTAACGCAAACGCACGGAGCACTACTACAAGGGTAGCAGCATCTCGATGGGGGGCCATGGAGAAGTCTGGACAGCTAGACGGCTTCCCGAAAGCTGCCTCCCTGCCGCTGGCGTCATCATCAGCTTACCCTACACTCCTTTAAAGGTGGTTGATGCGCTCGGAGAGTCTGCCTGCCTGCCTACCTCGTCACCCGGACAGAGTGAGGAGGTTGGAGTCGAATCCATCAACCAGCACACCGCTAGAGACTCATGGGTGGACAGCGCGGCAGCAACAGCAGACAATCAGTTCCGTCGTGTCATTTGATGGACGAGTGCATGGGATATAATCAAGACAACGCACCTCGCCTTCGACACGCGGGTCAGAAATAGCTGGAAGAGCGTTGGATCGACATTGAAGGGTAGCGGGATGGGCGGCCTGCGCCTCTGTGAATGCGGTCGCTGGTCGCACGGCATGCGGGGGGTCCAGCAGTCTCTCGCAGATTCGCACACACACTTTATCTGTCTCTTCTCTGGATGGCACACTGACACACTGGTTGTTGGGCCTCCAGCATTGGTGTGTCCATCTGGTGCTACACGGCAGTCTTCAATCATCCAGGGTACCCCCAAAACCAGACCCTCACTCTCTCACAGTCTCCAGAGATGACTGGTCCCTCGTACGAAAGTGCCTTCAGCCCATGGCGTGCTCGAGTTTGAGGGAATAAGCTTCTCGGAGGGTTGGGCCCATGACGTCGGAAGACTGCGGTAAAGTCCTTTTGGGAAAGCTTTGGGAGGACTGGATGCCGTCTGGCGTCGGTGCTTGTCGACGCTTGCTCTGCCAACGCTGCCGGTGCCGCAAATGGGCATGCTCGATTTTGGCCGCATCAAGCAGCTTCCCACCACCCCAGCGCAGCGATCGGCACCTTTTGGGTCCCTGGAAAGTTGGGGTCCCTTGGAGGAGGGGCGATGAGCGCCACACCCACCCTCTTCCCGTTCTTCTTCTCGCAAATTCCCGCTCTCTTCTTTCGTCTCCTACTTATTTACATGTGAAGCAAATCGCCCTTTCATCAGGTTGTTGGATCTGATTGTTATAAACACAACCCGTTTCAACGGTTGGAAGCGATCCGGTGTTGTTGTGCGCTTGCTCGTTGTTAAAAGTTCACCATGGGGGTCAATCCGGGCGTTGTGTTTCTCCTGGTAAGCCCGTCATCCACTAACACTGTTCAAAACGAACAACATCAAATATCTAACAAAATCTTTCTGTAGATCTGTATCGGACTGCTGACGACGGCCATGTACGATATCAAGTATCACCGACCGTGAAATTCTCTGCTAACCATTCCCAGCGTCGTTCATGTCACGAGCACCAATCTCGCCCTTCCCATTTCGCCGTTCTTGTCTCTGCTTCCCATTCTGCTGCCCATCCTTGGCACTATCAACGCCTTTTACTACCCACGCCTGCTGTTCAACGCGAGCACTTCTCTAGCCCGAACTGAGCAGTTGTTTCCAACCATCATCCAGACACTTCAGGGCATCCTAACCACCGCCGTGGCCGTGATCCTGTTGCAAACCGCGCTTCCTGGCGATGGCCTGAACTGTGCTCTGTCCACCAGCTGGCAGCGCATGTTTGTCGCCAAGGATGAGTCAACCATCAGGCGTATTCAGGATAGCCTTAACTGCTGTGGCCTGAACAGCGTCAAGGACCGCGGTTGGCCGTTTGGTGCCAATGCCCGGTGCGCGGAGATAACCGGTCGCGATACTGCCTGCGTCGGCCCGTGGAGGGACGCAACAGTGCGGAATTCCTCCATCGATTTGGGCATCGTCCTCACCGTTGGTGTGCTGCAGGTATGTTTGGTATTGATGTATTGCAGGCCGTGGATGGTCAAGGCTAACTAGACTTTCGCCATAGGTTTTGACGTTGCTCTTTATGCAAAGTGCCAGCAACTGGAGACATGCATGGTGGGCGCAACCCTGGAGCCATCTTTCAGAGCGCCCGATCGAAGAGCGCCAGCGCAGGCCTCTTCTCACTGCTACCATCTCGGCTCACTCAGCACACGACAGTGGTGAGGAATCGGAAGACATTGTGAGGTACAGCGACCTGAACCCACACTACGGCACCACGGGGGAGGGACAACGAGGCCGTATTCGTCCCGCCTCCCGTTCCGGACGAATTGAACCTTCTTCGCTCAGAAATGTCGAAAATGCCGAAAATGAATGGAGAGACGAGTGATCTTGTTACACCACGCCTTCGCCGACACACAACTACTTCACCTATTCAAACGACGAAACGAATCACCTTCAAAGATGCTCATTCCCCCTTCCTTGGCATTGCGAGCGAGCTGTTTTGTTTGAAGGTGTTGGTATCCAATTTTAGGGAGGCTTTGAGATTAGTACGGTGGAGTTCGGGTCTGACCGGTTCTTGCTTTAGTGGTCATAGTCTTTTTTTGCTAGGGGGTCTTCCCTTGTTTTGTTTTCTCTTTTTGGGGATAGGCTAAAATAACTATTGGAGTTTGGTAGAAATATCGTTCATTGCCGCCGCTTGCTTTGACATGCCTGCGAGTAGGAGGGCTAGATCACGGCCTGCCATTGCGAATCTGAGGTCGGCAATGTTAGGAAATCATCACAATCAACGACTGCACACTCATGCGAGGAAGACACGTACCGAATGGGAGCATGCCGTTTCGCCAGTTCCTCCAGGAGGTCAGGTCTCGGTTCCAGCCCACCGAGTCCCACAAACACCTTGCGCCCATCTACGCTCGCCTTTTCTGCTGCACTTGCGATCTTGGCGACTGTGGAGTGGAAGAGTTCTGAATCGTATTGTCCAGGGATTCCGAGCCTTGAACACGCTGTTTAGCCCAAATACTCCATCGAAGCTCAACGTCTTGCTTCTTGCTTTTGTTCGGGATGGGGGAGACTTACTCCATGCAGAGATCTGCGCAGCCGATGAACAGAGCGTCGATACCTGGCACGGCTGCAATGGCTCTGGAATTCCGTTAACCCCAGCACCCTTTCACAAGGGGGCTTTGACTGATGAAGTGAGACTTGGGGAGGGGGACTGACTCTACGTTTTCGACACCTTCCTTGGTCTCGATCATGGGCATGATGAGGACCTCGTCGTTGACTACCTCGGCGATGACTGCGTAGGACAGTGTTGTCGTGTATTGAGTCATGGCCGTGACCATTGTTACGGAGCGGTGGCCCTGCGATTTTCAGTATGTGTAAGCCCTGAGTTGCCCTTGAGATCTCGTCGAATCGTACTGCAAGGTAGAACGGGAAGTGTTCACATACCAGAGGGGGAAACTTTGATGCGTTGACGCACATCTTTGCTTGTTCGACGTTGTTTACGTGCGGCACGATGATGGCTTGCGCGCCGGAGTCGAGGCAGCGGGAGATCCATTCCGGGGCACATGTTGGGATGACCACGGTTGGCGTGATGCTTTTTGGTGTAATGGTATTAGCTGGCTGCTATCCATCACTCTCTGATACCGACTCCCTGCAGAGCGCGGGGTTTCTTGATGAGGCAATCTTGAAAAGTTGAACCGGGGGGAGAGAGGGAGTGCAGGAGCCGGGCTTACCCAACATTCAAGCACGAGACGGCGATATCCTTCATGGTCTCCATGCTCATGGCCATGTGCTCGAGGTTCATGAGCACGGCCGAGTAGCCCGCGCGCTTGGCGACGAGAGGCATCTCGGTGGAGAAGGCGACGCGGAGGCCAAAGGAGTGGGCGAGTTTGTTGGAGAGCATGAGGTTCTTGACGAGGTTTGGGCGGCAGGCTTCGCGGGCGAGAGCGAGCTGATCCTCGTGGGTTGTGGGTGAGGACATGTTGGGCGCTTGGGGGGGGGGGGGGGGGGGGTGGGAAGTCTGGCTTTGGATTAGGTTTCGAAAGGAAGGTTGGTATATGGATGTCGAGATACTTGAAATTGGAGTCCAAGAGAGCCAGCGTTACTTGAATCTGTGGTTGGTGAATCTTTTGGGTGTTTAGAGATAGGTATTGAGAACGTCAGCAGCTTGCATCTGGATACTAGATCATGGCTTCTGACAAGCCTCAGATAGCCCTGACTTACACGACCCCGCCCGAGGGGTGTCGCCTATCCCGAAAGTCGGCTCCTAGCGTCCGATTTGCCGGACGGAGCGGGTGGTCCTTATCCGGGGTGTTCGATAAGAATGCGGGAGAGAGATCGGGCATTGTCCGACGACGTCGTACTCCGTGGGCATGCCTGCAGCTTATCTTCGGGACAGGGGCGGGGAGGATGCCGATGGCCCACTTATACGCGATATGCTGATAGAGTGTCCGTACCGCGAGCGTGTCGTACCTTAGGTGACGGGGTCATGTTATCCTGGGGAGGACAATGGCCGATCTGGTATCAGTTGGGATGTTTGCCAAGGGGGATGGGTTGGCCCTGGTTATCATGATCCGGGGTGTTGGAGCTACTTGGGCGATGTGGTATTAAGGTAGCCTGTGGAGTTGAGGAGACACTTAACTTCACGGTGTGTCTCGGTCTGACTTCAATGAGTATCTCTCATCTTCTCCTGGACCGATTTCAGGATCTGATTAGTGATTTTGCCACTGCTTTCAGAGCACCATCGATTCTCATCATGGATGCGGAAAAGAAGACCCACGAGGCCAACTCGCCCACCTCGACAGCGTCAGACGTCGGTGTCGGCGTCCACGAGGATGCCCCCCAGAAGGTCTCTTGGGGCAGAAGGATTCTCTATCACCTCTGGGATGCTGACCAGCATCTGAAGAGCCCTCAGGTATGGCTAGTGTTCATCCGATCTCTCGCTGGAACCGGGCGAGACCGTTAAAGGGGAATTTGCTGACAGTAACAGGAACGCGCTTTGGTTCGAAAGCTGGATTTTGGCATCTTGATTTGCGCCACTCTCGGCTGGGTAAGTTCTAACACCGGCTTCTGTTCTGGTCGACAGTGGCTGACTTGATGCAGTGGATGAAATATATTGATCAGAGCAACATCACGAATGCCTGTAAGTTATGTCCACCTACGACGAAGGGGTGATGTAGGCTTAACACGGAAGCATAGATGTCAGCGGGATGAAGGAGGACTTGAACATCCAAGGAAACGAGTACACTTATATGCTCAGTAAGTTAGCCCCTGAACCGATAGAAACAAGACTGGTTGCTTGATGTATATGAACTGATAAAGGAATAGTGTGCTACACCATCGCCTTTGCCATCATGCAAATCCCATCAAACCTAATCGCCCTCAAGTTCCGTCCTCGTTATTGCATCGTCTTTTGCGAACTTGGATGGACAGCCTTTACGTACGTCGCAATCTCCACAAGCAGATACATTGCCCCCCCTTCTTACTTATATGAACCAACAGCTTCGCCCAAGCCGCGGCTCAGAGCAGCAACCATATGTACGCCTTCCGCTTCATGATTGGCCTCTTCGAATCCGGCTTCTCGCCCATCATTATCTTCCTGCTCGGATCGTGGTACACCAAGCCCGAGTTGGCGAAGCGCGTGGCCATTTGGCATATTACCGGCTTCTTTGGTCAGGCGACGTCTGGGTTCTTGCAGGCTGGTATTCATAAGTCCCTGAATGGGCATTTGGGAATGGCGGGGTGGAGGTGGATGTACATTGGTAAGTAAAGACTTGACTCGTTCTGAAGCAGGAAAACGGCTGATGAATGAGGGACATAGTCTGCGGCTGCATGTCTCTCCCTGTTGCTCTCTCCGTGTGGTGGTTACTGCCTGATTACCCGCATAACACGACTGCGTGGTACCTCACGGAGGAGGACAAGCAGATTGCGATGCAGCGCGCGGCGAAGCAGGGTAAAGCGGAGATCACAGGTGTTGTGGACGTGAAGCTTCTGAAGCGCATGTTTGGGAACTGGCGGTGGTGGATCTTGTGCTTGATGTACATCTTTGTAAGTCCTTCTCAAGCACATGGAACTTTCTCCTATCGCGTCTGTAGGCCTTCTGACATCTTGTCTCCCAAAAGTACGGCAACTCGTGCCAGGCCAACAACTACTTCGCTATCTACCTCCGTAAGTTACCACCCCCCTCCCCCCCCAGAATGTTCGTGTTCGTTGGAGGAAACTGACATACGGTAGGCGATAACGGGTACAGCGTCACTCAGCGTAACGTCATTCCGGCCTGCGCCAACCTCGTCACCATGGTCACGGACTTTGCTTGGGGCTTCATGTCGGATATGACTGGCAACAGACCACTGTGGATCATTGGCCCTCTGGTAAGTAACATCGTGTCCTGGAAGTTCGGGACGGTTCACTGACCGAGGGTTGATCGTAGATGGGAACGACTGTTGTCGGCTCTTCAATCCTTACTGCGTATCCGCCGACGGATGCTGCGCGAGTAGCCGGCTTCTTTCTCGTGTCTTGCGGTTATGTCACGGCTGTTACTTGGGTAAGTGGATGCTGGACTTCAAGTCCCTGCGAGGTGATCAGTGAGACTAACAGGGTTATAGACTTGGGCTAATGAGGTGAACAACGGCAACGCGGAGGAGCGGGCGTTGACTATTTCCAGCATGAACGGGTTGTTCTACGCGACCAGTGAGTCAAAGTTTTGGGACGATGGAATCTTTTTCACAAATAATTAACAATCTAGACTCCTTCTTGCCCATCCTCATCTTCCCGCAGACCATGGCACCCACGTTCGAGCGAGGCTTTCCCTCCATCCTTGCGTTCGCGCTCGCTGCCGTGGTACTCGTCTGTAAGTTCCATTCCACGGCTTAGGGTGTCTGCAGAATAAACTGACCGAAAACTCACAGTCGTTGCGGACTTCTTGCATAAGCGTCAGCTGCGACAAGAAGCGCAGGCTGCTGCCGAACGGCCCGCTTCTGAGACTGTCGTTGAGAGCGAAGGCGATAAGAAGGATCAGGAGATGGAGGGAAGGCTTTCTGCAGCTATTGAGCCAGTTCAGAACTCATCTAGTATCATTTGAGGTGCTACTTCAAGATAGTGACAGCACGGGGGTGGACGTGATAAAACTCGTGGTTTCGTGAGATACAGCTAGCATTGCCATGCTACCTACACCAATACAGTGGTCTGGGGATCGTTGACACAAGGAGTCTTAGAATATTTTTCTAGAAGGTTTGAATGGAGTTGTAATTACCTGTCCCAAGATGCGTCCTAAAAGTCCCAACTCCCCGAACTCGAGCATGTCCTGTGAAAGCATGTTGAGTAGCCGCACAAAGCTTTGTATTCAACTGATCGCTATGGTGACATATTCCGGCAGCGTGTCAGACCCCCACTGTAACATAAATTGATTGATTCATCTTCAATAGGGTGCTTCTGATGTACTACCTACGCAGAATGGCTCAGATACAACCCACAGTTCCTGCCATGGTCAGAAATCTTGTGGCGATTGAAGGATAATGATGCATCGAGTGTTGAAATGCAGAGCGCGTATTATTTTCCGCGGCTACCTAATTTCGATGGAGACCTGCTCACTAATATTCTCGCCAGCTTCCAACCTGAATCTGATATCAGCAATGGTGGCCGCCAGCCTCTCAATGCCTTCTTTGATCTCAGCTACCTCATGCCATGCCCAGCACAGTCTGATGAGTCTCGAAAACCCACCTTTCGACTCTGCTCTCTGAACACTCCCCTTGTCTCCACTGACAACAAACATGTGCCCGAATGCAACGCGAAGTAGCTTTTCCTTCAAGGCTATGGATGCTACCGTTCTTGCCACTGGGAGGTCTTCTGGAAGCCGCAGGTATGTGAAGAAGCCTCCTGCCGTTGCTTCCGCGGCACCCTCTGGGTTATTATCTTCCACCTTGACGCCCAGTGGTACTAAAACATCGCGAATGGAGCTCATGAGTGCGTAGTACCTCTTACGATATGTCGGTATGAGGGTCTTCTTGATATGTGTCTGCAGATTGCCGCTTCGTAGCATCTTGTCGACAAAGGTGGACGTGAGGTGCGAAGGTGCGCCGCCCGAGCTGGAAGACCCTCTGAGCAGGAGTCAGTCATGGGTTCGCCTCATTACGCTGGATAATTACGTTGGGTAACGTCGAAATTGGAGACTCACACTTCGGCCAATTCTTTGGCAAACGCCGGCGTGCCGTCCGCCCAGCCGACTCTGACACCAGGCCCGATCACCTTGGAGAAAGATCCGTTGCTGAGGGTATTTCCCCACATACTGTAGCCGGGCATGTCGCGGTCTATGTCGACGAGCCTCGGCGGCACAGCTTCGATTGCGTCATCTGGAGCGGATGAGTCCTCGGGCCAGCTCAGAAAGTCGTAGACGTCGTCTGATACGATGAGGGCATCGTATTCTCGCGCGAGCGCGACAAGGTCTTTGCGAATCTGAAGGGAAAGCGTCTTTCCGCTGGGGTTCGAAAAGGTTGGAACGATGTAAATGACATATTTGTAGATCTTGGGGTATGTTTTGCCCACTTTGATGGTGGGAATGTCGGGTCGGTCGAATTTCTCGGCATCCTCGACGGCTTGAGCTTCTGTGATGGCTAGTTCACGTCGGAGGAAAGCGATGTCAAGGCCGTCTGTGTTGTTCTCAGGCACGCCAGCGAGCTTGCCTTGGAAGCCATTGTCTTCAAAGATTGGGCACGCCAGAAAGTACGTCGGCTCAACCATGAAAATCTTGCGCGTGTAGAGGGGGTCGGTGAACTTTAGCAACATGTTGGCCAGGTTGCCAGACGCGCCGTTGCTGATGGAGATTCTCTCGTGGTCTATCTCCGTGCGATAGACCGAAGACAACCATTCTGCGATGCTCTTCCGGAGAGGAGAAAAGCCGATATGAGGACCATAGATGAGCGCCGCGGCAGTTTCGGTTTCCGAGGTCAGGACTTGAGTTGCGCCATCTAAAAGGGCGCTTGCTGCGAAGAGGCGAGGGGAGGGCCAGCCCAGCTGCAGGTTGATGAGCGAAGGGGGGTTTGAGGGCGTTGCGGGGAGGTTACTACCCATTGTGAAGTCAAAGTCAAATGTAGTAAGCTGGATGTTTCTGCAGATGAGCTTCATCGCTTTTACTCGGTCTCGCCAGTTTACTTCTTCAAATGCATCAGCGGAGACTATGCCCATCCTTCGCTCCCCATGCGTGCGTCTTATCGGACAAACCCCGACCTTTGCCGGGGTCATCTCCGCCCCATCGGGCGCTAGGCGAGAGACTCCGATAGGGCCCCGATGCTGCCGATGGTGGCCTCATCGCTATCACTTATCCGATCAGCAGTAAGTTACAGGCTCATCTCTACATCATCTTGATAGGAAATAAGCAATGATCGGATATCACTACCCGTGGTATCTCGAGACCGGGCTGATGTGCCCGAGATACTGGTGATTTGGATCCCGCATGATGGGAGAGAAAGCAAAAGAAGCCATGTCCCGGTTGCAGCAAGGTGGAAGTCAGCCAGCAAGTCGCCCATCCCGCTGGTCAAGAAAGTCTAGAAAGTCAAATTCCCAAACTACTATCCAACATGTCCCCAAAGTGGAGCAACGTCAAGTCTGAAAGCGAGGCCTTCGCGGCCGAGGTCCGTGAAATAGAGGCCTGGTGGCAATCGGACAGGCAGAAACACATCAAGAGGTAAATTGCATTGACTTAGTATCAGTGAAACATGTTAAGCAGTCTCAGGCCGTACTCAGCGAAGTCAATTGCTGCCCTACGAAACATTGGATTCAAGATCGAACACCCGTCCAGCGTGCAGGGCAGAAAGCTCTGGCGCATACTCAACGAGCACAATGAGAATGGCACCTACGAGTTGACGTTTGGAACGACTGAGCCCCTCATTGCAAAAGAGATGGCCAACTCAAGTAAGATTTTCGAAGTAATTGCTGTCAACTTTGCTGACTTGTGCGTCACCAGTTCAAACCGTTTATGTATCCGGGGCACTCTGTGGATTGTCGCAGGCAACTTGGCCAGGCGAAGACCACGCAGACTACCCTGCTGACTTGGTCCCATCCGTCGTGAAGCGTATCTTCAACACGCAACTCTTTCACGACCAACGTCAGACTCAGCTGCGGATGAGATACTCCGAAACCGATCGAGAGTCGTTGGAGTGCATCGACTACATGCTACCTATCATTGCCGATGCCGATATGGGATTCGGGACACTGACTGGTTGCATGAAATTGACACGTAGCTTTGTTGAAGCTGGGGTTGCCATGATACACATTGATGATCTTGCCATGGGTCTCAAGAAGTTCACGAATGGCGAGGGCCGAACTATTGTTCCCACGTCGGACTACTTGTCTAGGTTGACGACTGTCAGAATGACTTTCGACATTATGGGGTCAGTCCAAACATGATACTTCTCCGAAAACAATAGAAGAAGACGAACTAATGATACTGGGCTAACAGGGCGGACACGATGCTCCTTTGCCGATGTGATAGCGACCATGCTGAGTTCATTACGAGGTAGGATGAGCAGCCAAAAAGAAAAAAAAACCATGGGAATTTGTACATGCGCTAAGTTTTCTTAAGTGTGATTGACCCCAGAGACCACCCTCATGTTCTAGGAGCTACTAAACCGGTCCCGTCCTTCATCGAGGCTTTGAAGGATAGAAAGCTTGCTGGAACAGAATACCTGACAATCAAGAATGAGTGGAAGTTCTCGGCTGGACTAATGACCTTTGACGACGCCGTCAAGTCTATAGCGACTGAGGAGCAGTACAATGCCTATATGAAAGAGGTTCAAAACACAGTTGTAACATTGCAAGACCGACGAGCAACCGCCAAGCGTATTGTCGGGAAGGATATCACGTTTGACTGGGAACTTCCAAGGACACCTCTTGGCCAGTACATGTGGCAGTGGAGCACGAAGGCTGTCATTGACCGATGCGTTCTCGCAGCCCCCTTAGGAGACGTTACATGGAGCCGTCAAGGTAGGTCCCTCTGCCATCTCAACGCCCAGTTGCCTGACTAACTTGATGCAGATAAACCAAGTATGTTTCACAGCCAAGAACCTAGATTGAGTATGCCACTAGAGCCATGTGTGTGCTGACAGATGACACCGCAGACAAGGAAGACATGCACGAATTCCATACCGCCTTGAGAGAGGCTTATCCCAATCGACTCTTTGCCTTTGGATACACTGGTGCGTACGACTTTAGCAAGGGCGGATACTCACCGGAAGAAGTCGAGACCTTCCCCGCGGACATTGCAAAGATGGGCATTGTGTGGCAAGTCCAGCCAATCTGGGCCACCCAGGGGTTGAGTCTGCATGCCAAGCAGTTTGCGGAGAAGTTCAAGGAGGAAGGGATTGCCGGGTACATGCGGGACGTGGCTGCTCCCGCGACCGCTGGCATGGCCACCGATAAGTATGGGAAGCCAACATCTCGTGGCGGATATCTTGCCGATGCGTTCTTTGATGTGGTTGGAGGAGAGGAGATTACGGAGCGTGTCTAAGAGGGGAAAGTTGACTTGGCTGCTGTCGTGCTTCACATAAGCATGTATTGCTACGCTCGGCTAGAGAGTGGCAGAAGACTATCATCAGTCATCGGCCAATCATGTATGTTGTGTTTGCACTAGATAATATCGCTGTCTCAATCCAAGCAAGTCTTACGAGTTGCCTCCATTTGGTGACCAATTAGATGACCTTAATTCGCCAGTGGATGATGTGATGTATGCAGTCGTCTACGTGTGACTCTGTTACACGAAAAGTGGGTGAGAAATAAGGCTCTTGACACGAAAACCCAATCTCTTGTCATACGTATGAAGTGCACACGATATTTCAAGACATGGATAGTAAACGGCTGGCTTTAAGAAGAAGGTTATTGCTACTAGGTGCGAACATTCCAGTTCCTGTTTCCTTCCTGTTTTGTGTTCACTGAAGTAACTACTTTACCCATCCATCTACTCGGAATTCTTGGCTGGAAGACATTTTACACAATAACTCACTATGGAGCCTCTTGGCGGCAAACATGCGTCCCCGGTCTGCAAGTCGATGTCTATGGTCTTGCTTGTGTTCGCTGTTGCCTTTACCGTCCTCTACCTACTGGTCTCTCATATTCGACAAACCTCACAACATCATACAAAGAAGAACCTGCCCTTGCCTCCTGGGCCGCCTCGACTACCCATCCTCGGAAATGTCTTCAATAAACCAGACGTACACTTCAACTGGTTGACACACTACCAATGGAAGTACCTATACGGACCAATCGTGCATTACGAGAAGGGAGGACAGTCCCACATCATCTTAACAACGGTCGAAGCGGCCCACGATCTTCTGAACAAGCGAGCGAGCAATTATTCAGGACGCACATTCAGTCCTTACGCAGGAGAGCTTGTTTGTAATAACTACAACATGCTTTTCCTACAGTACGATACCCAGCTCCGACTGCATCAAAGACTTCATGTTCAGGGCCTGAACCCTCGTTCCGTGGCGCTGTACCATCCTCTAATAGAGCTGGAATCGCTTCAACTGCTCAACGACCTGCTTTCAGAGATTGAGGAAAAGAGTGATGAGAAATCAATGGGAGCTGCTTTGAACCCTCACTGGCACTTTCGACGTGCAGCATCCAGTAATGTGAGCATGATAGCCTGGGGCTACCGACTGTTGAGGGACAACCCCGAGCATAAAGCACAAATCAAATTCTTTGACGTCGCTCCAACATCGGTAGTCCTGAAAACCACACCGACGTGGTACGATACCTTTCCTTGGCTCAGAAATCTTCCCTACGCCATTTCTCCGTGGAAACGAGCGGCTAAAATTCTCTTCGAGCGCGAGGAGTCACACTACTTGTCAAATTATCGCAGCGCCTTGAAGAGACCCGGTTACAATCTCAGCAAACAGGTAGCCATCAGTACTGATAAACTAGGCACGGGGATGTGTGAGACCGAGTAGGCATGGACTGTGGGAACATTGACCTTGGCCAATGGTGATACCAGCGTTGCTATTCTGTGTTGGTTTGTCGTTGCCATGTTGACGTACCCACGTGTCTTGCACAAGGCTCAAGCCATGGTTGATGAGGTTGTTGGCCAAGATCGTTTGCCTGTTTACGAAGACCGGGAGAAAATGCCCTACGTTGACGCAATGATCGAGGAAGTGATGCGGTGGCGGCCCATTCTACCGGCAGGACTGGACCATGCAACCGTCGAGGAAGATGAGTACAAGGGATACAGGATCCCGAAAGGAGCTACGGTGATTCACTCCCAGTGGGCGATCACTCGAGACAAAGAGGTATATGGCGCGGACTGCGATGACTTCAGGCCGGAGAGATGGGTCGAGAACGAAGATTTACCCAGGACCGCCTTTGGATACGGAAGGCGACTTTGCCCGGGCAGGCATGTAGGCAGAGAAGGGCTGTGGATATTGTTTGTCCGACTCATTTGGGCATTTCGGCTTGAGCAGACGACTAATCCCGTCACTCTGAAAAAGACGGTGGTGGATCCGATGTGCATGTTGCCGGCGGGCTTCGTTATTGGGCCCGATTCTTTCGAAGCACTGTTCATTCCTAGGGGTCCATGGGTTGAAGCCCTCGTACACCAAAACCTTCAAAGCGCAGAGAAGGATGTTGATAAGATTATGGAGCAAGTGGAGCTCGAGAAGAGATTTTGATCAGTTCAAGCTGAATCTCAACTGGTTCTGACTCACTAAAGATACAGATTTATTGTTTCGAAGTGCTTTCCCACACTGATCTATCGCCTTATTACTTTATTCTGTTGCCTTTCAAAGGAAACAAGATGACAGGAAGCGAGGAATAAGCGAGGAATGACTGAAATCCTGCCAGCTTCCTATGATGAGTGGCATCTCAAGCCTCTAACATCAAAAGTTGTGGGGTACATTGAAGCAGCTTGAAGTCTGCCTTTCCACGGGGCGAGGATGAGCTGCAATGCCGTTAGCCCGATTTTCCGGCTCTATTGGACCGAGATGTTCAGGGACGCTGAAGGCCGTCTGAATTAGGGAGGCATCGATTCGGAATATGTGGCTCGGGCAAACACTTAACATCGAGGTGACAATCCATGTAGCCCCTTTGCCAAGCCTGGGGAATGTTACTCCTCCAATGGCAGTCTGACGTTGGTGGAAATGCCGTGGTTGAGTAATATCAGGTAGATCGCTAGGGCATTAACCGAGCTGCGGAAATGGACCACTAATTGGACTGCTAATCTTTTGAAATTACGGGATCAAGGCAACCAGCTGGCAACGATGGAATTGAAAGCAGTGGACTAACAGAACTTCGGAATTTGTTGTGAGTACTAGCATTCAAGTGAACGGCGTCAGCAGGTCTGTGTGCAACTAAACATGAAAATAAATAAGTAGACAGCTCAACCCTCAGCAATCGCAAGTAAGTCGAAGTACCTTAATCCAAGGACAGCAAGGCAGGTCAAAATAACAAGAATACTCAGCAAAGTCGTTTCGAAAGATTCTTGTCGACATCATGAAATTTCTCAATATCTTCTCTGCCTCTTTCGCTCTGTCTAGCGCTCTCTTGACACAAGCGGCCCGGCCCTTGGAGAACCTCGGCCGAGGCGTTGTAGCTGTCCGCGCAAACGACGAAGAAACCTTGGTCACCTGGCGTCTCCTTGGACTCGACCCATCGGGAATTGGCTTTAACGTCTATCGCGACACGGGAAGCTCTCCGACAAAGCTTAATGAGCAAGTTCTTACGGGCGGCACCAATTTTCTTGACTCTACTGCTGACCCGGATGAAGTCAACACCTACTTCGTGCGGCCTGTCATTGGCGGCAAGGAACAAGCAGCGAGCGGATCTTTCAGTCTACCTGCCAAGAACGCGGTCGAACCGGTTGTCCGAGTCCCTATCCGCAGCGGTGGCGCTGTTAAATTTGTCTGGGTAGGCGATCTTGACGGAGATGGCGAGTGGAACTACATTCTCGACCGACAGACTTCACCTCAGACCATCGAGGCTTACACCAACAACGGCACTTTTCTCTGGGAAATTGACCTGGGCCCGAACAGCGAAAATCAGAACAATATTGAGCCAGGATCTTCGACCATTGACGTCGGCCACTGGGATGGTGTCACTGTTTTTGATTTCGACAGTGACGGACGTGCGGAAGTTGCTATTCGTATCGCCAATGGAGTTGTGTTTGGAGATGGGAAGACGTTCGACGATGGAGACACAGATAATCATCAGTACATGGCCATTATGGACGGGCTTACAGGAGCCCTTCGCGCCTCCGCCCCGGTTCCTACGGATTACATCGACGACGGACCGCTCGCCGCCCGTCTTGGTGCCGGATTTCTCGACGGAGAGACACCTCATCTCGTTGCGTACATGAAGAACCGTATCGGTTCTGGCGAATTCAACTTGATGTATGTGACCTGGACCTTCGACGGCACATTTATGCAGCAGAAGTGGAAATGGAATCGTGGTGACAAGAACTTCCCCGACGGGCATAACACGCGCATCATTGACCTCGACGGAAACGGCAAGGATGAGGTCCTCGAGATTGGCTTTGCTCTCAATGGAGATGGCACGGAGAGGTATACTCTCGGAGACCAAGGCGTTATCCACGGCGATCGGTTCCACCTCGCCAAGATTGACCCCGATCGCGCCGGCCTTCAGGGGTACGGTGTGCAGCAACGAAACCCTTATCTCATATACGAGTACTACTACGATGGCTCATCTGGTGAGATTATCTGGAAGCATGTCGGCGACAACGTGACCGACGTTGCCCGTGGCATGGTCGGTGATATTGACCCAACCCACCCTGGTATGGAAGTTTGGTCGTTTTCGGGAGTCTACAACGCCAAAGAGAATGAACTCACAGAGTCGAATACTGAGCTCGCGCCTTGGCCTCATCTGGGCCTCTGGTGGGATGGAGACGAGCTACTCGAACTTTTCAACGATGGCAAGTTCGAGAAGTGGGATTGGGAGAACCCTAGCACCTCCAATAGTCTCCCTCGCATCTTGAGAGTCAGCGATTTTGGTGGGGTGACTGCCGGAAGATACCCTAACTTCATTGGTGACATCCTCGGTGACTGGCGAGAGGAGGTCATCGTTACGAATGAAGCTGCCGATGAGTTGTTAATTTTCACGACGGACAAGCCGAGTGATATCCGCTTATATACTCTGGCTCATAACCCTGCATATCGCAACGCAATGACTCTGAAGGGGTACATGCAATCTCACCATGTCGACTACTTTTTGGGAAAAGATATGAAGACGCCACCCCGGCCAAATATTCGATACACGGTCGCTAAGTAGTGGTAACTCGACAGTTGGGCTAATCCAGCACGTTGGCTGGTCTGAAGAGGTTTGGCTACCTTAGGTAGTTCGGAGAATCGGGGTGCTGGAAATGCGATGATGAACTACCTAGTTGAGCAAATATTTATACGTGAATACAAATGATTTACAACGATGTGTATAGAGGACATAATTGACAATACTGGGTTAAACACACAAAAGAGTCCAAACTTAACATTTCAATAAGATGTCTATCTTCTTATAACAAACCCCCTCACCACTGGGCATTCAATGCCTAAGATGCATCAGGTCCCTTCTTCACCCTTAACAATTGCGCTCAATCAATCGCACCATCCGCGCAGAATTCCTTGTCAATCTTGCAGCAGCCACCATTGAAGGGAATTTGCAACAGCGCGTTCGGCTGCTTAATCTCAGTAAGAAGCCTCTTTCGGGGCGCGCTAAAGGTTCAAGCTGGTATAATTGTGCTTTAAGCACTTGATATTGGGTGTCGATCTACCGACCGCCATAATTCAATGAAAATTACATGCACCTATGATTCACTATCCAATAACTAAGGTAGCTTACATCTTTCCCATCCTTCTTGGTGGCACCTTCGCCACGAAGAGGCGGTCGATCTCATCAAACGTCTTGCCCTTGAGTTCAGGGACGTAGAAGAAGCTTCCCACAGTTCCAATTAACGCCAGACCACCAAAGATGAATCCAACCTTGCCCTTCAAGTTGCCCTCGTCGGGGTTGACCATGTAAGGAATTGCGAAATTCATCGCCAAGCCACAGATTGCTTGCGTAGCGGTAGCGAGAGCCATGGTCTTCGCACGTAGAACAGAGCTGGAAGCCTCGCCGAGGATGGCAAAAGCCATGGCACCAATGGTCATGAAGTACACAAAAGCATAGACGACGGTGCAGGCGGCTTGCACCCACTTCGCGGCATCCGTAGGGACGACGTCCATGATGCCAATGAGCAGCAGAAGCGTTGTCAGGGCTCCCATTCCAGACAGGAAGATTTTCCGGCGGCCAAAGGACTCGATGACGAACCAGCTGACGATATTTCCGAGGACGCCGCAAGCTGTGACGCCCACGCCGAGATCGAAGGATTTCGAGACGTCAAGACCAGCGAGCTGGAAGAAGTATGTCGAATATCCGAGAACGAAGATGATACCGACCTTGTGTAGAGTTAGCACATAGTCTAGTATTTCCAGATCAGGGAATACTTACCAAGTGCTGGCAAAGGAAGACACCAGTTGAGATACCGGTCCGAAGAAGATTGGTGCCCTTGAAGCAGTCGACAAATCCAAGCTCGTGTGTTTGGTTCGAATTCTCCTCCTCAATAGTGGCCACAATGCCAGATAGCCTGGCGTTGACGTCGTAATCCTGTCCATATAGCTTCTTGAGTGACTTTGCTGCTTGCTCAAGTTTGTCCTTGCGGGCAAGGTACCAGGGGGTCTCGGGAGTGAAAGGCAAGAAAACGGCGAGGAAGAGGACGAAGAAGAGCTGGGTGGCGAAGGGTCCGCGGTAGGCCCAGCGGTCAGATCGTTCTCCAAATGCTTTGACAACGGCATTGGATAAGAGCTGACCGATGGCGATGCCCAGGTTGACGCCAGCCGTGGCGTATCCTCGAAGGGCAACGGGAGCCAGCTCACTGCATGCGAGGGGTGCGAGCGTGAGGTAGAACCCGAGCCCTAAACCGAGGATCAGCTTGGAGCAGAGGAAAGCTGCTTTGGTATCCGAGAGAATCTCGCCGACGCAACCGCCGGTGCAGATAACGACACCGATTAGGAGGGAGTTTTTGCGTCCGATTCTATCTGCTAGCCAACTGCAGGCAAACCCTCCGAAGAACTGGCCGACGGTGCTAATGATGTTGAAGGCTGACTGCCAATCCGCAGGGAGAATCGCTTCGCCGTCGAGGACATATCTGTAAAGTCTTCAGTCAGTCTCCGCACCTTTGCGATGTTGAAGTCTTGCGTAAGAGTGAATATTAGATTCGTACCCAAAGTCCCTCCTGAAGGATGCCACGGAGATCATGGCGCCGTTGATCTGAGCGTCAAAGCCCCTAGGAGTCGTATAGTCAGCCAATTGCAACTTTTCGAAGTCTTCCTGGATAGCTTACCATCCAATGGCCGCCATGGCCCAGTAGAAACACCACCAGATAATGGCTTTGTGGTTCTTGAAGACTTCTCGAACAGTAAGATCGTGCTCCTGCTGGTTGGTTGCGCCGACAGCCATCCCCTTGGCATCATGATGGGAAACACTTGCTTCCAAGTGATCCGAGACGTCGTTCTTCTCTGCCATGTTTTCTGGGGGTTGCCGCGAAATGTGACAAACTTCGATTATGACTCTATGTGGAAACTGAGGATGATTGACCAGGGTCGAGGAGTTGCGGAGACTAGTGACGATCACCAGGAATCCGGGGAAGTATTGGAGATTATATCCTCTGCCGGCTACTCATTCTCGACAGTCAGGTTGTTGGAACATCCTATTCGTGATGGCGGTATAGTCCCAAGCAACCTGTGTTGAGGTCATTCGGATAGCTCCTGCTGAACCCCTTGTTCAAGAACAAGCAGACGGACGGCGCAAGAGCGACATTCCGCGACTGATCAAGCCACAGCTAGGCGAATCAACGCCCAATCTGGCAAAGGCTGAGAATGGCTCATGAGGAAAATCAGTCCAGGCGCCTCCGTGTTGGGCCGAGACCACCGCGTTCGAAAATCCGAGAGCGCGGAACGACAGTACGTACCCTCAGGCTGGTGTGGAGCCCCGGACTTTCCCCGCAATCCATTTCGGGCTAGGCCGGCAAGAATCTCCAGACGGCGAAGGAAAGAACATTAAAAGCGACATTCCGCGACGCGTTCCCCCTTCTTTTCTCCAGCTTTCCACCTCATCCAACGTCTCATCACAACCCACAAACCGTCTCCCAAAATTAGTATTGTTTTTCCCCCACAAATTCGAGCCATTGGGCGCCTGGCAATCCATCCCGTTTCTTGATGGCAGACCCATCTGCCCCGGACAGCCACGTGCCGTCAACCATAGATAGACGAGCCAGAGCCAGACCGGAGTCGACCAGAACAGTCCGCGTCTAAGACCAACACCCGGCCAGCAGCCCGCGGAACCGCTTTCTACCAGCGGAAGAGAGCAGTCAGGGCATGCCAAGTATGTCGGGCTCGGAGGACGAAATGCGATAATCTCAAGCCGTCATGCTCTTTTTGCCTCAAGGTTGGAGCTACTTGCATCCAGTCGCCCGTCGACCTGTCTAGTTTCGACCCAGCGAGTCTCAAGATTTTGGAACGGCTCGATGATCTAGAGGAGATGATGAGATTGGTCACAGTCGATGGACTACCGAGCAACAAGACACGAGTGGTCGAGGTCCCGGTCGAGCATCGGGTAGAAGCACCTCCTGTGGGGCCTCTTATCCAGATGGGTATGATCCTCCCTCCGGGGCCAGAACATGTCATGTCATGGGCCATCTTTGAGGAGCTCGGCAACGGAATTGAGGCCGGAGACATGGCTTTGCATGTTGATCATGTCTCAGTAGCTGCGAATTCTCCAATGTCTCTAATTGGCGCTCTCGACCTGGAACCACGGCGCATCAACAACCTGCTCGACAATTTCTTCAGTTACGTCCATGTCAAAAATCCGATTCTTGACGAGACAGTCACTCGAAAAATGGTTTCACATACAGTACTTGAAGGGATCAACTGGTCAGCCGAGTCCTGTCTGTCTCTCCTGATCTGCGCATTGGGGTCTTTAGCCACAGCTTTTGGCCCCAGTCAGGAGACGATGCTGGGCTCCGCAGCCCACAGCGATGCTCAAACTTTCTTCCAAGCCGCGCAGAAGCGACTAGGAATCTTGCTATCGTCAGATGACATTATTGCGGCTCAATGTTTGTTTCTTTCAGGGGTCTACATGATGTGCGTTTTCCAGCCTGTTAAGGCTTGGAGGTACTTCGTGCAGGCACTGGCTAGCTGCCAACAATTTTCTTTTCTTACCCCCGAAGCCCAAAAACGCTACCACAGCAGCGTCGAGTCGGGCCATGAGTCTCAGAATTATTCCATCGACACTCTGCAGCAGGCTGTATACTGGTCCTCATGGAAATCAGAGCGAGAGATGCGAGGGGATCTTTACCTCCCAGACTTTTCCCTAAGTGATCAGGAATTGGCATTTTACCCGCCCTTCTTCCCGACGCCGCCAGCTCCTAAGGCAGAAGTTGAGACTGCAACGGATCCGCGTCTGGCTCGCGAGAGAACGTCCTGGTACTTCTACCTGGCCGAGATCTCTCTCAGAAGGCTTGCCTCTCGGATTAGTGCCGAGATGGTGGGCCTTCAGAAACAACATCCCACGCGCCAGGCATACCTCGCGGCAATGGCCGCGGCAGTCCCGCAGTACGAGGAACAGGCACAGGAGTGGATAAACTCGCTTCCTCCGAGTCTTTCATTCGCCGAGCCTCCGGAAGAGGACGATGTCTGCAGATTCGTGCTCCGAGGTCACGCGGTGAATCTTTATGAGGTGATTTACTGGCCGTTTTCCACCGCTTTCCTCGATGCCTTTGGGGCGAATCCCGATTTTTCCGGCAAAGCTCTTACTCCCAGTCTGGAGGGATTAGCGAAGAAGGGTCTCGAAAACCACCTTTATCGACTCGCCATCAATCGCCTAGGGTACAGGCATCGCCACCATGGAACGTTGCCCATGATGCGTTCCTGCTCGCGTAGTGCCCTGGCGTTGGTAGCGGCAGCATTGCTCACCCAGTCTAGCGGTTCTGAAGGCGGAACCTTCTTACCAACTGGCTGGTATGGCGCCGTGGGAGAGGTGATTGACCTACTCGTATTCTGGGAGTGCGAGACTCGCGAGATGGAGCTTGTGCGTCGCGTTTTGGAGAAGGCATATGGGATTTTTTCGGTACCATCTCCGCCGGCTTATCGTTTACGGGTCTAGTCGAAGCTTTTTGCCGGACATGATGGCTGCATTCTTCGTCCACCAAAGGGCCTGAAAGCCGACTACCGGTAATACTACGTCGATTCATTCAGGCTAAATACAACTCGATCGATACTCCGCTTGACACGACATGGAACCGGAAGCAACGAAAGCTGTTATGCAGATGCCATGCTTTCACTTGTTCAGCACAGAATGAAGACCTCCAAGAACGCCATTAAGCAGCTGCCGGCGTCTCATCGGCCAAAGACTGGTTCCCAGTCATGCGCAAGTCGCTGTACCCCAGACTCTAGCTGAACTAGTCGGGTTGATTCACATGCGGGATAGATGGAGAATGTGTCTTGAGCCAGGCCCCACACCACCCCACCTTCGCGGAGTGTCGCTTTTAAGACCATGAGGGGCAATGGCGGACGCTCATCTAGCTATGCGCGATGACAGCAGACCAGAGCCTCGATACGATGGCATGATTGGACGATGACTACCACTTTGGTCCACTGAATGGTCTTGGTCACGATGCTGATGGATATAAAGAACCGTCCTCAGAAAGATTGACAATCAGCAACGACATACCCCTTGAGCCAGAACCTCGCACCCTCTCAGTCTCACGATGACGCCCGCCACATCTAACCCTCCTCTCACGACGCTACGCGTCAAGGGAACCAAGATTGTCGACGAGAGTGACAATGAAGTAATCCTTAAGGGCGCTGGCCTCGGTGGCATGCTCAACATGGAGAACTTCATCACCGGGTACGCCGGTCACGAGTTTGAACACCGTGCTGCCCTAGAAGAAGTCCTCGGCAAAGAGAAAGCCGACTTTTTCTTCAACCGTCTCATCCATCACTTTTTCACAGAGGCCGATGCCGCCTTGTATGCACAATTGGGCCTCAACTGCTTGAGGATACCTTTCAACTACCGTCACTTCCAGGACGATGACAACCCAAGCGTGATCAAGCAGTCCGGATTTGATCTTCTGGATCGCCTCGTCAATATTTGCGCCAAGTACAACATCTATGTTATTCTCGACCTGCATGCCGTGCAAGGCGGACAGAACCAAGACTGGCACAGCGACTCGGGCATCAGCAGAGCACTGTTCTGGGAGTTCAAGGACTTCCAGGATCGCGCAATCCAATTATGGGAGGCCCTTGCCCGTCACTATGCTGGCAACAAGGTCATTGCAGGATACAACCCTCTCAACGAGCCAGCAGACCCTAAGCACACCCGCCTCATCGCATGGTACGAGCGCGCCGAGAAGGCGATCCGCGCCATTGATCCTGATCACATCCTCTTCCTAGACGGCAACACCTACGCCATGGACTTCTCCGCCTTCTCACCAGAAAGGACACTACCCAATAGCGTCTACAGCTGTCATGACTACAGCATGATGGGTTTCCCCCTTCCCGAGCAGTACGACGGCACATCCGAGCAGAAGGAGAAGCTGCGCACAAGTTTGAAGCGCAAGGTGGAATTCATGCAAGCGGCCGGCGTGCCCATTTGGAACGGCGAGTGGGGCCCCGTCTATCAGAACCCGAAGACGGATTCCAACGCCGAGGCTACCAACGAGAAGCGATTCGCCTTACTGAAGGAGCAGCTCGCCATTTATCGGGAATTCGACGGCATATCGTGGAGTATCTGGTTGTACAAGGATATTGGATACCAGGGTATGGTTTACCTCGACCCGAATAGCCCGTACATGCGCCTCATCCAGCCGTTTGTTGAGAAGAAGCAACGGAATGGCCTTGACTTCTGGGGTTGCGCAGATAAGAGTGCCATCGATAATGAAGTATACACCCCTTTCATCGAGAAGTTGAAGAAGCAGATTCCTGCCCACTTGCTTAAGAAGAAGTACCCCAAGGTGTGGAACTTTGATAGGCAGGTGGAGCGTGTGGTACGGGAGTGTCTGATGAGCGAGTATGCTGGCTGGGAGTTTGCGGAACTCTTTAAGGGCAAGACGGAGAGTGAGCTCGAGGAGTTGGCTGCCAGCTTTGCTTTGGAGAACTGCAAGACGCGCGATCGGCTGAATGAGTATTTGAAGGAGGACGCGGTGACAGCGAATGGGAAGCTCACCGATGGAACTAATGGTCACGCATAATGGGGCAAAATGCCAACAAGGAGTTTGTAGCGGGACCTAGAGATGGTGTAAGATCCTGATGGGAATAGGCGTCAGATCTCTTGTACATGGATGCGATGCGAAATCTCACGAGTTTGGTGTATCCACATCCATATCTTGGCATCTATCAAGGTACTCACAATCATGACTACAGCCATTTGCAGAATTCTCCTCATCCCCAGATCAAATGCGGGAAGAACATTTCTTTTCTTCTCGCCAACAGGAAAACCTCGGCCATTGACTTTGCTCCCGTCGGATTGGAACCGAAATTGAAGCAATCTGCTTGTTTCTCTGCACTGCTTTTGAAACCGGCGAGCCATACCAAGCCCCAACCCCAGAAAGCTCACTACATCACGGTTAGCGCTACCTGCTGCCATGAAGCTGTCTCACACTTTTATACGGGTTGCCTTCAGCCTCGCCTACAGTACCCATTCTGTAAGCGCTGATATAGACAGCACTCGGGACGTCGGAGAGAATGCAGTTGTTTTAGCCGATGGGTCGTTTGCGGAAAAGATCCTAGGAACGGTAAGGTGTTACTCCAATGCACAGTATCCGTGTGTGGTGTTTGCCAAACAGCATAGATAACTGACCAAGAGCTGCAGATTCCCGAACAATCCTTCACTGAGATCCATGAAATAATGATCACTGTCGAGGATGTCCCAAAAAGGCCTAGTCCTCGTCATGAACGAGAGAAGAAGAGTCTTCTGAAGCGGATGAGCAAGCATCACGGAAAATGGGATACAAACCACCCTCGCCATCGATTATTGGAGGCTCTCTTCGGGTTCTCCAGGTACAAGTCGAGACAAATGACTGAACTCGATCGTTTAAGGGGATTGTACAAGCACGTCACCAAAGCACAGGAGAAGGTGAGCGAGGGGATCAAAAAGCCAAGAATGAACCACACACTGACAAGCTTCAGTTACTAGAGAAGGCAATTGGCTACTCAAAAAAGTTTGACCAAGTAGAACAGCTCATCAACGTCAACCAGGCACTGTGCGATGGCATCGTCGACACTGCTCTCGACTATTACGGACTCTCGCATGAGGAGCTCGTGCAGCACAGCAAAGCGAAGGACAAAGCGGGCCAACTGGCTGAAAAGGTCAGCGTCTCTCAGGCGCTGATGCACTTTGTCCGTGACTGGTCAACCGCTGGCCAGGGAGAGCGGGAGGATGCTTTCCCCTGCATTCTCGATACCCTGCAGTCTCTCTTCCCTGAAGAGTCTCGTACAAACGTTCGGGCTCTTTTCCCTGGTTCAGGAATTGGTCGTTTAGCCCATGAAGTCGCCTCCTTGGGTGGGTTTGAGGTTACAATGAACGAGTGGTCATCTTTCATGAATATTGCATACCGATTCTTAGAAACTCACCAAGAGGCCGAGATGAGATCATTTCATCCTTTCGTGAATAGTTGGTCACATCATGCGACCACAGCAGACATGCTTCGGCCAGTCTCATTTCCAGATAAGCTGGTAAATGCAAGCACAGTACTTCTGGTTGAGGGCGACTTCACGTCCATCTTTAAACACAACGAAGGAGAATACGACGTGATAGTCACACATTTCTTCATCGACACGGCAAGGAACTTTATGGCATACCTGGACACCATACGCTCTCTTCTAAGAACGGGTGGCTATTGGGTCAATTGCGGGCCCTTGCTTTGGGGTACCGGCCCTTTTGTTCAACTATCGCTGGACGAAATCGTTGAAGTCACGAAGAGTACTGGGTTTGAATTTCTGGAATCTAAAAAGGCCTGCGGAGGAGTAACACTTCGAGGGGAGAAGGTTAGGGGCAAGAAAGCATTGTATGGGTTTGACTCCAAAGCACTCACGACTAATGCTTACCTGGCTCAGTCTTGGGTAGCAAAGAAGGCTTAGCAGAAAAGATCTCGAAAAGTGTCCTTCCCTCCATAGGATATGGCGATGCCGTAACAAGCAATGGGATAGCTTTTAAGTTACCCTAGCAAAGTCGTCCAGGGGTTGTTACTAGGTACATTAGGTCATGAAGTGTTATGACAGAGTGCACATTCCGCGACATTCAGTCAAATGACCCTACAACATGTTTGCTAGCACTTGAATCTTGGCGCGGGTATCACCGTCCTAATGTTGGTGATCGCAGGATCTCAATCTCGCCCTGCTGATTAAGGTAGCCATGAATAGTAAACGGGATAGTCAACAAATACTCGTTGTTCCAGACACATACGTAGAAGACATCGCTACTTGAGAATCAACTCCTTAGTTTGAAACACCCCTGGTGGACTGAACAATCAGTAGCCCCAGATTCTGCCGTACACAAGAGCTTCCTTGCTTGTATTAATGTCCAGTCTGTTCGGCGAGATGGCCATGATGAACGCTCCTCAACCTTTTTTATTTCCGCTTAAAGCCTGATTTTATCAAGCCATAATGTGGCCTATTCCATGGGAGCTTGAAGTGCTGCGCTTGCCCCAACATCCCAACATGCATGAACTTTATAAAAAGGTTTGTCGGGGGGGGGGGGGGGGGGGGGGCGCGATTCATCTCGCCCAAATTGAATGCGCATTAAACCATCTCAAAACCTCAGAGGCCGCCGTTGAGTAGTTGAAGCAAGCAATTAGAAAGTCTGTCTACCGCTTTCCGTGTTTGCTGCCGTTCAAATGATGGAGAGGTTTGCGTTACCTTACTCGATGTATATCTATAAGAACCATCCCCAACAGGAAAACGTTGATTTAAATTCGTTGTGCTAATGGCCTAATGCAGGATGCAGGCCAGCATTAGATCGGCCAATAAAACAGCACTATCCAATTCCATTATCATTATTCTATTTCGACGCCCACAATTCTTTTTTTTTTCAGAATTCCGATCTCATCCTTCCGCCGGCGACCAAATACTTCCTATACTCATCAAGGCACTGTAAGGAAGTCGCAGGTCGAAGGATCGAAGATGCAGAACACCAAGAATGCTGAGAACTCGTTGATATCTGTGTAAGATTGCTCGTCAATCCTTGCCAGCCAGCCGATAACTGACGCCCCCAATCGTGATCAGGAACGGCTCCTCTGCTCTTCGTGGAGCAGGGCCCGTGCCCGCACCTGCCTCCGATAATGAGCAAGAAGACCCTTGCGCGATCCTATGTCAATGTGCTCGAGGATTTTCATGCCGGGAAGGCCATGACAATGATACCGTACCTAATAATGAAATCATTTTCGACATCGCCGAATTCGCGCTTGACAATACATCCAGCTACAGAATCATCAGCGATGCTGAATCGTGGAGCCAATCTCCTGAGAACGAAAGACCCCTAGACGTGGACGATCCTGGCGGCACGGGCTGGCTGTGGGCTGGGATCTTCCAAAGAGGGCCGAAAAGGAAGCAAGTCTATCTTTGGAGTTGTGTTAGTCGTCTCGAATAATCATGACGAACAATACTCACAGCAAATAGTGCCGTTGTGGTCAAACTGGGAACCCCATCAGGCTTGAGAGCTGCGCCGCCTGTCGTTATCCGCGCTGCGCTTACTGCCCAGTTTCAAAAGTTAGAATTTGAGCGCAACAAGGTATGCCATTGCAAATTCAATCTTCCCACTAGTCGCTTGATGTTCTGACTTCTGTCGGGCTAGATATCAGGATATTCATGTCCGTGCAGCATTCACGGGATCACATGCCTCTCCAAGGCCTAGGTGTTGGCTTATGTACTGATGATAACAAATCTCACAGTAGTACGAGTACATATACTCAGGTAACTGACCTTACACATGTAATGCGCAAACAGATTGGAAACAAAATGCAAGAGGATGAAGCAGGGTGGAATTGAGCAGGGTGAAATCAAGCAGGGTGGGGTGAGAAAGCTTCAATGGTTGGATGAGTAGGGATCTCATGAGAGACGAGCGGGGAGTCTCGGGGCGAACTTTCTCTCAAAAGCACACTCTCTTAAATCAATGCAACAAGAGAACTCCGCACTCAAGGAACTACAACTGCACTATTGCTTTTGCTGAGATTTTCTGCGCACGATATCTTCGTTAATTAGAGGGGTTGTTCAAATAGACTAGACCGGCAAAAGACATCGGATGAAGTGACCTTATATGCCCATGTCTAAGTGGCGCTGCGCTGCGCTAGCATTCGGCCGATCCCGCAGGTGGTGCGCGTGGGTCCGGCGGTCCCCAAGGCAAAGTTGCCAGTATTAATATGTCCCTTCTTGACTGACCCGCAGCGCGCATTCTACGATGCCTCTTTGCCGTAAGGTAGCTAATTCATCTCAACTTGTGCATGAGAACTGCATACATGTACTTCGGGCGTCTGCGAGATGGATGGCGCGGCACCATGCATTCGGCCATTGGCCTATTACCCCGGGGCTGCCGATGTCCAGCCATGCAAGTTGCTTCCACGTTCAGGGGGTTTTCTGCCCGGGTTCTTCTGCCTGTGCCATGATGCAGGCCAACACCCACCAGCGCTCAACACTCTATCACAAGACGAAGTGCTGGCCAACATTGATTTAACAATGACTCCTAAGTACCTAAGAGTAGTGCTTGCCAATATGAATCGTATTGGAGGCTATGTCATCGAACCCCCCCCCCCCGCCAAAAATAAAATAAGCGGAGCCAGACTCGTGCATAGTATTGACATGCCAGAAGGTCTACTGTAGACCTAGAGTTTATTGGTACCGGATAGAGGGCGCAAGTTGAGAGTGTCATGGGGTGCTACAGTAACAAATAGCAGCATCGGAATAAAGCTGACATATGCTCATCGAGCATGCATGTCAATTTCAGAAGTGTCGTGGAAGAATTCCGTTCGTCACAGAACATTAGCGCGGCTGCCTTGTTCGCCTTAAACGAAGTCACGCTCAATTTCAGACAAATAAAAAATCGGAAAGTTGCTGTCTCCGAAGTTGAAAGCTGCCGAAATCTCGGCTTCCCTCACCGTCAACCGTGAGGCGTGAGCCAACATCTCAGCATTGATCTAGCCAATGTACAACTCAATTTTTTAGGGCTGTCGATAACACCCGTCAGAATTCGAAGCAATCAGAACTGCATCAATGGCACACCTCTAGACGAAGTTAAGCCTATTGGAGCCTCTCAACGCTCACGATTCTGCCCAAGTAGCCCAACACGCGTTGGGTTTCGGGAATCGATGCAGCAAAGGCTGCAGGCATGGTGGCGCAGATTCTGCACCACATTCGCAGTGACCCTGATTGGCTGAATAAGTCGCGAAAATGCATTTGAAGACATCTAGATTCTTCTGCGTCGCTTGGACAACCCTTTTCCTGGATTCAAGCTAGCCGATGAGAGGAAAGAGAACCTGGACGATCCTTTTCAGCGGGCAATGATGGGCTTGGTTGGCTTCTGACATGCCCCGGACTTAAATATGGCCATAATCTCTCACATCTCAGGAATGATTCTTGAGCGATGAGGAAACAAGCATACTTGCAACATAATCACTTAAAAATGACGTTTTTACAATGGATCGAGCAGCAACACGGTCGTTCCCACGCCGACCTGTCCAGTGGAATCGTCCAATGACAAAACGAGAGCCCGAAATATCCCGCATTGACTTACACACCAAATATCAAAAACGCTTCCAAAATGAAGGAACAAACCCTAGTCTTCTCTCCACCTTCCTCAGCATCCCTGAATTTTCACCTCGGCTGGATTATGAACTCCCTGTCTTTCAGAATATACTCGATGAAACGATTTTGCAAAGGATTTACGAAGGAAACTTCGAAACGCCAAGTAACTTAGCAGCATGGCTCCATGATCGAGATCTGTCAAACAGACCAAGAGGTTACAATGGATCACTCTCGCTTCTGGATTTCGATCGCCAGCTCAGTTTGAAGGTAATGATAAACTCATATCTCCGAAGCATTTCGAGGTTGACTTTGACATCGGCTCTGGTCCTGTGGATTGTACCTTGATTGACCATGGAAGCTTCATGACTAATTTTTCACAAGCGACTCGGCGAGAAAGGTCTTCCGGACGCTAATACCCGCAAAATGTAAGAGAAGAGATGGCGCAATTGATGCGGTAACTGACCCGAGACCAGCTGTATCAACAATCCCTGTCAATGGACACTTGGGGTTTTGGCCGTTAGAGCTCCTGAACATCAAGCCCCAGTCATCAGAGACTTCATATTCAAGCACCTCACAGCTAGAACATCTGTTAGTCTTGACACCGTGGTGAGACCATTTCTAAATACCTAACTATACTACATAGCTTTCTATGTTGCTCACGTCAATGAACAGATTGATGGTGGCTTCACTCTGGAGTTCCACTTGGCCTACCCGGTGTGGACAAGAGACCCATCTCCACGAAGAGATCAGCGGGTTACTAGAGACGGACTTCCTCTACGCAAGTCCACCGACTTATCGTTTCTACCAGGTGCTCAAAAGTCAGACCGGATCACACACGGCTTCGACTATTTACACGAGGCTCAAACATCAATCTGTGTTACTGGACGGGATACATCTCAGTGGACAGCCATCCGCCTGACAGATTCTTATTTCGAAGATGATAGCGACCCGAACAAGGAATACTTGCTACCTTTCTATGTCGCCGATCCCTATCCTGACCAGGATATGACTAGTTGCGAGCTAGATGCAATCAGCATTGCAAACTTGACAGCTGACAATGTTTCGGTTACGGATCCGCGTGAATACTTTCTTTTAGTAGTAAAGATCCACGTAGAAAGGATCACTGAGCATTGGACAAACGTACTGTTTAAGCTGAAGGACATGATTGAAGAATACGTAAGTAGCAAAATCCCACTATTCCTTGATACTGACGCTACATGTGTTTGATGATTTCAGATGCAATCTGATTCTAAGTATCAAGAGAATCATCACTCCATGCCATCAACTTATACCATCAGATACCCCATGTAACGCATCGAATGCTAACTTGAGCGTGTGAAAGCTTTCCAGTCCGCATATACCTTTGGTTAGGAGAGAGTCCTCACTTGGCACCATGCGCGGTGAATCATATGCCATCGAAGCAAGTGAGGTGTGGCTCGGACAAACCAGTGACCTAGTGATCCAATGGATTCTCCTTCTCACCAAGACAATCAAAGCCTGGGATAAGTTCTTCGATCGGGATATCAGCCGTATTGTGTGTCAATCAAGCAAAGATAGAATCAGCCACATGAACGACTCACTCTACGAGATCAGGCGATTTTTAGATGAGATCATGGTAATCCGAGAAGAAATGGAGGAGCTCAAAGTCAAAGTCGAAAGATTTGAAAAGAAAGTAAGCTATCATCCATTCCAGATTACTCGCCATTGCTTTTGTGGGTTAACGAAATCTTTTTGGCAGCTCGGTCTTCATATCACTGTGGGGGGTAGCCGTGCCATCATCTTGCAACACTTGAATGTTACAATAGTAAGCTTTTCGGCTTACACCCTAAACTCGTCATTTGTTGTTTGGAGAAACGTTTCATATGTTCTTATATACGTACTAACTGCGGCGTGCGATGTTTAGCTGCAGTTCATCTCGCCTTTTGCTCTGGCAGGGACCATTATGCAGGCAGGTCTTGTTTTTGGGCACCCCGTGTTATGTTTCACTGTCCTGGCCTCGGTTGGGGCTTGCATTATGTGGGCGTTGAAGCCAGTCTTGACTTGGCTTGCTAGGAAAGCTCGGATCGAGGAGGCGAATCAAGTCGTCCCACAACAGATCATTCAGGGGCTGCAGCTCGAGAATGGAGTGCAGACCACTTCCTATTCAGCGCCAACGCGTCCAGAATTGATTTACCACAGATTTCAAGGGGTATCTATAGATAAATCCAACCAGGCTATCTAATATAAGCATTTTCAGAAGCTTGTCTTCGTCACATCTTCTATACTTCTGAATACCGTCATACCATGTGTCCGAGTTCAAGGCTCATTTCATGTCTGTAGTCACAATTCCTACCATCAATAACAGAGTTGACTGTGACTGAGATGTAGCTTTTCATAACCTCAGTTACTGCAATGTCATAATGAATGTAAAGGGCCTATTCTGAGACGCGTACGTACAACGGGGAAGGGAAGGGATCGAATGGCCTACTAATATGCATAACCCTGATGGATACATGAACTCGGCCAAGGCACAGATGACAGATGCGACATATCTGGAAACCTCTGATTGGGCTATAGACGGGCACCGCACATTCTCAACGTTAAGGATCGTCAGAGCTTCTCGCACACAAAGCAAAAGTTCTTATTTTCGGCCGGATGTGTACTGCCACCCTATCCAGACTCCAGTAAAAGTATGCTGGTTAGATCGGTAATCACGGAGCCATTCACATCAACATTAGCCACAGCCGCAAGTAGATACTCCATATAACTCTATGACAATTAAGTCTACTGAGGTCACCCATCATGGTCGACCACGTTGGAATAGATGCTCTCAATACATGTATCGTTCAACACACTGGAAAATTTTGACAGCACCGACGGTGAATTAATTGTACATCCAAGAACCAGCTTTTAATCAGTATTAGATTGTAGTGCGACTACCTTGGCGTGCTTGTCAATCTGGCGTAAAATTGAGGTTACGTTACTCCAGACTCTGCCTACGATTTCAACTTCGCAACCGCTGCAATCTTTTCCCTGACAGGTGTGTTATCGAGAAAGACATCGAAACGTGCGATCTTGCCAGCTTCTTCCCCCTCCGTCACGATCGTGACTAGCCCTGCAGCCGGGATGTTAATGTCCTCGTTATCAGGGTCGCCCTTGACTCGGTAGGTGATGTCCACAGCGAGCCAGATCCTGTTGTCCACCTTATCTGAAAACTTTCAGCACTAATATGAGAGAAGATATATGGCTCGGAACACCTACCAGCCTGACGAGTAATATGCTTCATATACGACAGCTGCCCAAACGCCGCGTCCATGATCTGCTTGATGGAATCCACACCATCGGCAACGGGGAAGTTGGTGAATTTGACCTGGGCATTCTTGGAGTAGATCTTGTCGAAGTCTGTTGTTTGCAGAGAGTCGTGGATATTGTGGGACTGTTCATCAAGTGAGCGTGGTGTCCTGGAGTAAAGCATGTATACTCACATTTCGAAGCCAAGCCAGGGCCTCGGCCTGAGTGGTTGGAACGGCGACCATTTTGATCGACAGTATGACACACTGCTACGATGATATGTAGACAAGCCTTGTTGTATTTGCGAATGATGGCTATGTTCTTATGTGTTGTGTTCCCTCTTAGTGCTGACAAATTGTGATTGCGCAAGAGCTTACAAATGTTGCCGAAAATGTTGCCGAATCCTTCGAGGAGAGGTCCTAGTCTCTGGAGGTTACTGTGGCACCCTGCGATTACCTCAAACACAACATTTGCATATCTCCATTTACTAAAATCCAGCATCTTCGGCGGCCACCATAGGCTTGTTTGCTTTTCTACATATCTCAAACATCCGCAGGGTCCATGTCTCCATGATCTTCACGGTCCATCATCACCAAAGGATGCACGAGCGCATTTGCACGATGAGATATGAAGGGACTTGAGAGGAGAGAAGGAGGCACTAGTCTGTGACCGCCTTCAGCGGACCATCTACCAAGACCTCGCCAGGGAATGGTATCTTTGCTAGACCTCGAGCCCAGTCCATAGCGATGATTGGAGCCGCCTCTGCGTCGCGAGACCACCGCATCTTCTTGACGAGGTTCCTCAGCCGCCTCATAGCATGTCGATTACATGTAATCGTTGTGTGGTTCGTCTTCCAACCGTACAAGAAAGACGAGCAGTTGGTCTGGTTCAACGTTGGCTCCACCGCCAACACGACCTTTGGCAGTGTACCCTTACGGACCTCTTCTGCGACATGCTCTCTGCGAAAGTCTTCCACAATGCGAATGGGTAGTTGTAGATCTTCGGGTACTGGATGGCAGGACAGCCTCTGGAGTTCTGCAACGAGATGCCGGCGACGCTTCTCCGTTGCCTCTTGGTCCTTTCCCTCCATGCACCATCCATCCTGCCGTAGAACACGATCCAGGAAAGTCAACTTGTCGTCCTGCTTTCCCCTGAGCGTCTCCTGCCCAAGCAATATCTCTATTCGAGAGACTTCTGATTCTGTAGATGCGTCGTACACCATGCGCAGACACGTCTCGGCCGCCTCTCGGGTGCACACGAGCGTGTGGCCGCAAATGAGGGGATAGAGGGACTTGGGTAGCCTAGGGCCGTGCTCCGCTTCATCCCCAACGTCTTCCAAGATCTTGGGACGCCACTTCCTTTGGGAGCTGTGGCTGTGGGAGATATCTGTTGTTAGGGCCACAAAAATGGACGTGTCGATGTTTAGACACGGAGTCAGCGATGGTGCTTTCGCAACATCACCATGACTAAGAAGATTTGGTATCGCGACTTCGAGAGGCGGGGGCGGAGCCTGGATCTCTTCGGCGCATTCCAATGCAAGTGAGATGCGGTCATCACTGAGGCATTCAATACCTTTCAAAAGCCTGTCTATGGCAGGTACATTGCCACGACTGATATTGGGAAGCACGATTCGTACACGATGCTGATAACCCCCATGTATCTCGCGAGCGGCAGCCAACAGCTGTTTTGCGCTCTTCAGGACCTCGATCTGGGTTTCTTCGTCATTGATAACCTCTTCGAGCTCGGCGTCATCGGCCTCATTATCGGGCTCGTCCCAGGGAAAGTCTGCTTCGGCCATCTGTACCAACAGAGCCCGCTTGGTGACGCTAAGTACCCTCATCCACTCATGCCCGTTATCGACAATGGCGCTGACGAATACCGAGGTGAGATGGCCGCCCGCCTTGGAGTAGGGAACAGCGAAACGAAACCAGGTGATTGAGCGGCACTTCTTGATCGCCGACCAGTGGTTCTCGTATGATGCGAGTTCACCCACTATTAGTCTGAAGTCTCGAGATAGCGAGCCCTCTGCTTCTGAGCCTGGCTCATGTGTTTCTGCGCATCGTTGAAGCAAGGCTTCTGCCCGCGTGCGTTGGCTGACGTTGGCCTGCCAGAATGTGCTGAAGCCGGGGATGTAGGCGTGCCAGTGGTTGTTGACCTTGGCTGCTTGAATTTCAACAGCTGAGCGCATGTGCTCGAGCTCGTCGCATATCTTGGTGCAGCGGGAAATGAGATCCTCGGCGGTCTTGATGAGTTCTAGGGACTCTGTGGCCTCCTCGGTTGGAGGCGAAGTCCCTTTGATGCCATGATTGTCCATCGATTGGACCAAAAGTTTGTTTTATAGATGCTCAATGGTATAGATATGTAACATTTGCGGTTCAGCTTGTAGCAAGTGCGATGTGAGGTGCTGTTGGCCTTAATCGATCGAGGTGATAAAACCGGGGCGGATGAGTCATGACGTGGGTAGGTTCTTCTGAACGCTGGTTAAGAAGAAGGGTCAACCACATGCATTCTTTCGATATAGGGACTGACTGTCATACACTGTAGTTTAAAGTCTCTCAGAATCATCAACTCCGTCCGCTCAAGAGAGTATGACTTGGAGACGGTTCGACGGTCGAGAGTTGAACAATTGGAGAGGGCGATGTACGACATGGGAGCCTGGGAATGAGCGCCCAATGACTGGTCAGGTTATGGAAGTGGGGCTTCTGGCGAGCTACCTGATTACATCAGCCAGTCGGAGTATTATCTCCGACAATTCCCGACGACACTCTTGGTCGTCTCCAGTCAACACACACACCACAACCACGATGGAAGTAAGTCTTCGATCTCGACGATCAGATTCATCAACATTAAATTTGTCTGTCAACTATCCAGAGCCTCCTAACGCCTTGTTACTTGGTATACAGCCGTTATATGCTACGCTTGTCCCGCTTCCATGCACAGTTCCTATGCAACATTCTCAATCGACCACGACTCAACAACTTCGGCGAGTGTGCTGTCACTGCCAACATTTCCAGGGAAAACAACGTACGGCACTCCACGATGCCGGCTAGTCTCCTCTTCGCACTTCCACAGCGGGACACCGGGTGCAGCTTGACCCATGATGCGGGCCCGCCTCATCCTCAACCCCTTTGTGGCCGCGTCGGATGATGTGATGCCACCCTTCGCAATTAGATAGCGCGGCCGTACGTCAATCTGCTCAACAAGCTGAACCAAGGCCCGAGCTACCTTGGAACCGATTTGGAGAGAGCTAAGCGCATCGCCTCCCTTGATCAGTTTCCGGGATGTCATGACGAGAACATCCTCGCCAGCTGCAAGCTTGGTCGCTGTCTCGGCTGCTGCAGCAGTCACGACCTTCTCGGCCGCGTCGGCAGACTCGATGAGCCCTGCGACATCGAGCTCGATCACCACCAACTTGTCGCCCCTTCTCTCCCTGAGCACCTTCAGCTGAGCCGTCGTCTTGGGAACGTAAGAGCCGGCGACGATCAGCCCACCTGGCTGCTTAGTACCGGCCTTGACCGACACCCCGAGGTCTGCCATAGTCAAAGGTGGAATCCCCGTGATGCCCAGGCGGGAGGAAACGAAAGCGGCACCAGTGCGGTAAAGATACCGCCTGCCCTCCTTCTCTGCTTCAAGTAGGCCTGCCACGAAGACATGCATATCCGACTCTGCGGCAGCGTTGACGATGACGACTGTGTTCGAGCCAGGTGCTACCGAAAGGAGCTTCTTGGTTACACCGGCAGGTCCTCCTACGCGAATATCATCGAGAGTGACCGACAAGAATGACGATTCGTCGAATCGGTGGCCACACTTCTCGAGGACATACTTCCGCAAGTTCGAATTCTTGTATCCAAAGGTGGCGTCTTGAGCAAAGGGTGTTTGGCTCGCAGGAACCAGAACATCGCCTTCCTTGACATAGTGCACGTCGTTGATCGTGTATCTTCCGCCTTGATAGAAGAAAGGCGTCACAACCCAGGCATCGAATTTGCCGAGGGCCTCCTCGGCAGCCTCGGGCTCCTCCGGGAGATGTCCACGGAGCGTCGAGTCACCTCGAAGGACGATTTCGAAAGCTTTGCCCGCCTTCTCAGCCGCCGTCTTGACATTTTTGCAAATCTCGACGATGAGTTCCTTAGCTTCGGCGGAGGGCAGTGCGCGAGAGTTGGTCAAGATGAAGAATCCAGTCGGGTTGAGGCTAAACTCGTCATCTAGTGTGGCAGAGTCCCACACGGTAAGGACATCGATGTTGTGACAGGTTTGAGTTCCTGTTGGATCGTCATCCAAAACCACAAGAACCGGGACTTCCCCATTGTCGACCACTTTGCGAGTAGAGCTGATCACATCACCTGAGTATTCGGCCGGGAGCGAGTCGATTGTTTCTTGTGCCGGCAGGCCTTGCTCCTGACCTACTTCAACCTCGGCAATCTCGGTTTTTGGGACGCTGCTCTCCTCAGCCTTGGGGCCAGCATTGCCGGAGACAGAAAGACCCGTTAACTCCCAAAGTCTAACAACACCAGCGTCGGACTCCTTCGTCCACCCGTGAGACGCACCAGCGAGGTACATATTGTGAGCTGCTGACGAAATCGGAGCAAAGTAAGTGAGTCGCTTTGCCTCGTCGAGGACGATGCCGAGGTCCTTGACGAAAATAGCCAGGGCGGAGTGTGGTGTCCAGTCGGCATCAAGCATTTGAGGCACCCTGTTCTCGAACATCCAACTCCATGCGGCTGCACTGCCGAGGATTTCGAAAGCGCGTCTCGTGTCGAGGCCGAGGCGAGTGGCGAATGCCATAGCTTCAGCAGCGGCTGCGATATGAACGCCGGCCAGTAGTTGGTTGATAAGTTTCACTGAAGATGCAGCACCGACACCTCCCTGCACGTGGTAAAGGTTGCTTGAGGTTCCTGTCATCGCTAGTAACGGGCTGTTGACCTTGGAAAGAACGGCCTCATCTCCAGAGCAGATGATCTGACAGACGTTAGTGATGAGTCTTAGCTCGGGCGAACGAGATGAGAAACTTACTGTAAGGGTACCATTCGCGGCGCGGACCACACCACCGCTGACAGGTGCATCCACAAGGCTCAAGCCCTTGCCAATATTTGTGAGCTTGGCCTCAAGTTCTCTGACAAATGAGGGTGGGACCGTCGAGCTGAGAATTACGATGGCGCCGTCGGGCAACGTTTCCGCCGCCTTCCCGGAGCCGAAGAGAACATCATCGGCTTGGGCAGCGTTCTGAACCATCAGAACTAAAATGTCTGCGCCCTTGGCCGCCTCCGCGGGGCTGCTAGCCTTGGAAGCGTTGCCTCCGTTGGCCACAAACTTGTCGATAGCCGGCTCGTATACGTCGTAGCCGTGGACGGCGAAACCGGCTCGGAGAAGAGACCCAGCCATGCCCTGGCCCATCGCGCCCAATCCCACCATACCAATCTTTGAGATTTCCAGTGGCGTACTGCTCGGAGTCAACTTTTCTTGCGTGTTCAGCTGGCCTGCCTGCTCTTTCACAGCATTCGGAGATCCAGGGAGGAACACCCGGACGAGTCCGGAATCATCCTCTGCACCATATCCATGTGCGGCTCCTGAGATATACAGCTGCTCGGCTACCGATGCAAGAGGCACCGGGAATTGCAGAGTTCTCGCGGTTGAGACGACGATGCCCTTTTGAAGATGATTAGCCACGACATCATGTCGAAACCGAGCGAACAACTCACCATGTCCTTGACAAAGATGTTCAAGGCAGATAACGGTGTCCAGTCGCCGTCCAACATGTGCGGCACACGATTTTCGTATGCCCAAGAATTACCGGCGGCATTTGTGATGATGTTGTATACCTCGCTGGTGTTCAGGCCAGCTTTGGCGGCCAATCCCATAGCTTCTGACGCAGCAGCGATATGCGTTCCTACCAGGAGCTGGTTGACCATTTTGATCTTACTGCCCGCTCCCGGGCCCCCTGGAATAATGTACAGCTTTTCCGACATGTCGTGCAGAATGCCGTCTGCACGTTGCAGCGCTTCAAGGGCCCCGGAAGCAAAGATACTGAGTGTCCCGTCGGCTGCACGCTTCGTGCCACCCGATACGGGGCTATCCACGACTAGAACATCTTGCCGCCCCGCCGCCGCAATCCGGGGCGTCAGTGCCTCATGATACGTTGGCGGTACTGTTGAGCAGAGCAGAACGGTAGCATTTGCTGGTAATGCTACGGAAGTTAGGTCAGTTGGATGCTCATGGCTGCAATGCCTGCGGACAACTCACTTTGCAGAGCACCCGTCTGATCATTGAAAAGTATGTCATCGATTTGCTGCGCGTTGACTGCCATGCAGACTAGGATATCGCTGGTTTTCGCCACTTCTTTTGGAGACTCTCCCGACAAACCACCCTGAGCGACGAATTTCTCTGCGCTTGGAGGATAAACATCGTGGCCTTGAACACGATATGACGGTTTCTTCAACAGGTTGCATGCCATACCAAAGCCCATGGCGCCCAGGCCAATGAAGCCGACGCGGGTCGCCTCAGCGTCTGTGGCAGCCATCGTGGATTATTGATTGAGGATTACTTTGTGACTCGTCGGTGACTTTTCTTCCGAAAATCAACGATAGCTTGGCTCAAACTGGGAATAACGGTAGACCCAGTCATCTTATACCCTACCTTGCATTCCCCAGATCGGCCAAGACTCGGAAATCCAGCCGCGACGGCCGGAGGACTCTTGCGACGGTCTGGGACTCTGGATGGACGAGGACACCCGAGGTGGATTGCGGGCCCGTGTCTATCCAAGTTTGATGGGGGTGTCCTCCACACCCTGGACTCGCCTGGAGGCTTGTTCCCCTCACCATCTCTTCATTCCTCCCATCCGCAAATGGAACGAGAGAGAAACAGGACTAGCCCGAGCCGGCACTCCCAGTCTCCCAGCACAACAACAAGTGCCTGGCGCTGAAGTTGATCAAGTGGACGCGACTGAGTTTGAGCAGGTGGAGGCGTCTCAACCCCGCACGGAAAGAAGACCGGCCCGCTTATAAACAAAGGAGATGCACGTCGTCCGGCGAATCTTTTCCCTCTTTTCTCCCCTCGGCCATCGTCCCGCCCTTCTCTCTTGTCCACTCCGTCCACCTTCCCTTCCAAGACCCACGAAATTCACACGGACTTCTATCCAGCCCTTCGGACCATGAAACGTGCGAGAATTGACGGCCCGGACAAGACCCCGTCATCGGCGGCGGTCTCGGGAGTGGCCTCCAGTCAGCAAGCTCATTTGCCAAAGATTTCGAGAAAGATCCGAGCATGTGAGTTTTCCCCAAACTTTCGGACTGAACTCCCACTCCCTTGCAGAAGTATGAC